CTTTAATTAAATCAAAGTTATAACCTTGTTGAGAATAAAGTGGTTTCTTTATCAATTCCTTGAACGCTTCTGAAAGTGAAGATGAAGAAATTCTTGCCACTTGAATTGGTTTAAATTCTGCTTTCATTGCTTCTTTCTGTTCATTGAACACTGGATCGAATAAAGCAACTTTAAAGAATTTCTTAGCTGGAATTTCAGGTCTCAAATTTGTATATTGACCATCAAACTGATTAACATATCGTGGTAATCCATCCGGTCCCTCTTCAATAGCGTTTAATTCTTCATTGAAATAAGAATATGGATTATGACGGTATGAATTAATTGACCATGTTCACCTTCTCCAATGTATTGTTTAACAGCTTTTCCATTTTCATCAAATTGCATAGGATAACATTCATTATATGCTTTACGTTTAGGATAATCAGATATAGTTAATTTATACCCATTTATGACTTTAATATTACCTTGACCATCAGTAACGAAAACTTCATTTATACCATCAGGTTTTCCATTTGGACCTGTAATGTCTGCTTCGTGTGCTTCCCAATTTGGACCATGACGTTTGGCATATGCTTGAGCTTCTGGTAATGTTAAAACGTTTCTCATTTGTTTAACATCTTTTTGAAGACCAGCAACAATATGAACTAATTCTTTCATTCCGTCTGGAACTTTCATAGTTCTATTATATGCACCCCTTTTGTTTGTCCCTTGTTTTAATGGAACCTGTAAAAGATTTGCTATTTCTGTCATGTTTAATTATAAATAAAAAATAAAAATTAATTATAAAAAGTTAATCAAATTTAACACTCCTTTATTTAAATCAACTATTATTTTTCCATGTTCACCTAATTGCTGATATTGTGTGTAAAGTTCATTAATGCTCATTGGTAAATTCACTTGATAAAGCATAACGTTCAACTGTTGACGACTAAACCCACTGAAAATGAAAAGGTTGATAGATTTGATTTAATGTTTGTGCTTAATGCTTTGAAGTATTGAACAGCCATGAAGAATGAACACTGAATGTGTCGACATTGAGTTAATAACTGATTAAAATATGATTTCTCATTTGTTATTAGTTTTGATTTCACGCATCATCTAGAAAAATTAGTGAATGCAAAAATTCTTATCAAAATTTGAAATGAAAGTGTTTCAAATAATTCATCCCGTTGTTTATCAATAATTTTATCCTCTAATCCTTGCTTCTTGATTGTATTATATAATTCTTTATACATTAAAAAGTTTTTTAAATAATCTTCTGCTTCTTCTTGTGATAAATAAATAATTGGAATTTTGATTAAATGCTTTAAAGATTCAAATGTATTATCTGAAGGTGAACCTGAACGGTTGATATAAATTAACACATGTGAATGGGGGGAAGTGTTAGCAATAATGATAATTTGTTTTAATATCGTTAATGTTTTACCTTTATTTTGTTTACCAATTGCTGCAGTGATTGAATTTAAGTAACATTCAGAATATGGAATTTTCATTAATTTTTCCTTAGATAGAGCATTTCTATTATCACTCAATGCTTCATTAATCATATCATCTACGTATGTATTATATACTCCCGCTAATTCTTCATAAGGAGTGGATGAATTTAAATCCATTTAATCAAAAATAAATTTATAATTTTAAACATTTCTATTCATCAATATTTCATCATATGAACTTCTATACTGCGGTGGTGTACCTGTTGGATGATATTTCAAACCTTCATCCGGTGTCCATGTCCAATATGTAGTCCTAGTAAACCAAACCTGAGGAGGATTTGTCACTTTGAACAGTAAGTGTCATTTTCACCCTGAATGATTGGATAAGCTTTCACTTGTACTGTAACTTGTGAGTTGAAAGTTTCTAATCCATCAAAGAATATACCCGCTCCATCACGTTGAACTGGAATAGTGCATAAGAATGAAGTTTGGTCTTTCCATGTTCTAGCTAATGGTGTGCCATCATCATCATTCAGTGGTCTAGTTAATGAGTCCTCGTATTCTTCTGTGCATTCATTCACTCCATCTAAATCAGAAGCTTGAAGCATACGTGTAAAGAATATGTCACCCACTGTGGTCATCGCTTGATCGGGGAAGTTTCTGGAATCTATAGTGACCTGAAGACCTCGAAGCATTGGATTTTCTAAAACTGTTCTTTGCATTGCATTCTTCGGAAATGCTAACACAACATCTGAACATTATGAAGAGCGTATGAGAAATCTGAGCTGATACCTTCAGGAGTGATGCAACCTCCATTTAGTGAACGAACGTCAATATGTTGAGCTGGAATCATGAATGGATCTTCCTTACTAAATAAACGTGGTATTGCTTTAACTGATTCTTCAATTAAACCGTATCCTGGTGTAATGCATTTATCCTCTAAAACTTCCATCTTTGTGCATGAAATAATAACGTCATCAACTGTTGCGTCAGCAGATGTAGCGGCTAAGCCTGTAATTAATTTGGCAGGAAGTCCGATTTGTTGGAATTTGCGATCATATTTATAAACATGATTCATAATCTTTTCATAATTTTCATCAGTTATCTTTTCATAAACATAATTTTGTAAATCAGCAACTCTTAACGGGTCAACCTGACAAAATACTAAAGTATCCTGAAAACATAATATTTAAGAATGATTTCACCAAATGATTTAGGATAATCATCGAACGCCTGAAATGCTAACAAATCATTTACCGGAATAATCATATCAAAAGTGACATCAACTTCATCATTTGCTTTCTTGAAAACTTCTGAAGGGTCAATATATTTACCACATACTGAGTTATCATATTTTTGAACATTATTATATAACGAATGAACAAACTTTTTAACTTTCCTTTCTGATTTTGGTTTATATGTTGCAAATGCAAAAGATTCACGGGCGCATCCATCTGAAGATAACCGGCATCACCTCTTTCAGTTTCTACTTCTAATTGTTTAAAGCTTTGATTTGATGATTTGTAACCAACGAATAAACGCATGCATTTAAAAGCGGCATCACATGTGAAAGCTTTATTTGAAACTAGAGTTGCTTTAACTTTGCGTTTAATATATGTGTCACCAATTGGTTCACATCATGAGCCGGATTTGTAATTCTTAAATGAGTTTGTTTATCATCAAAATATGGAGCATCAGAGTCATAGCATGAACTTTCAAGTTCTCTATAATATCTTCTTCCATCATTCTTTGCGAATATTCCATTTATCTTTTCGAATGAATGAAACACATTTCCATTAATCGGTTTGGTGTTTGGCACTAAATAGTTAGTCGTCATTTATTAATAAATAAAAAATCAAAATTAAAAGATGAAAATGAATTTTTAATTTTAATGAAATAATCAACTATGGCTGCAGGATTCTTTAAGAAACTGTGGGATAAAGTAAAAAGAGGAGCGCATAAAGTTTGGGAAACAATGAAGAAAGGAGCAAATTGGATATTTAAGAATAAAGAAGCAATTAGTGACGTTGCTGAATCAATAACACCAAAAGCTGCCCCAATAAGAGAAATTTTAAATAAAGGAGAAAAAGTTTATCAAAGACTTCAACCGATACTAAGATAAAAATAATATTTATTTATTTTTCCACTATCTACCCCCTATTTTATTAAGTATTCCTTCAGCTATTCCACCAATTGCGTTACCTGCTTGTGCTCCCATCGCCGGATTACCTGCTTTAGTACCTAATACTCCACCTATGATAGTTCCTGCCGTTTTCGCTACTGGTGCCAAAAAGTTTGCAACGGGTTTAATAATATTTTTATGAACCCAACCTGCAGCTTTCTTAATTCCATCCCATAATTTTTTAAAGAATCCTGCCGCCATTTCTGATTTAATATTAATTAAAAAAATATATTTCATCACTTATATTCTAATTTTTATTTAATGATAAATGAAACCGATTTTAAAAATAAATGAAATAAAGGAGGAAGAAATAAATGAAAGTGAAAATGTTCAACAAAAAATAAACGTTGTTAAACCAATTACTGAAATAAAGGAGGAAGAAATAAATGAAAGTGAAAATGTTCAACAAAAAATAAACGTTGTTAAACCAATTACTGAAATAAAAATTTTTTCATCTGTTGAAGAATTTAATGACTATTATGCTAATAATAAAAAATTATTTGAAGAATTGACAACATGTAAATTGAATAAAATGTTTAAAGTTGATGGATTCAAAATTTCAAAAATAAAAGGAGTGGTTAGTTTGAAATCTATTCCTCAATCAAGAATCACCTCATTAATGAAAATAGATGATTTAACAAAAAGAATAGAAATTATTGAAGAGCGAATGAATCAAATAATTGATTTCATAAATCATGACTCGTTGAGCCCGGGTCCTTAAAGCCCAGGACTTAAAGTCCATCACTGAGTTCAAGGTTATATTCATCAAATATTTCATTATTAAATGCAACTTCTGCTAGTTTATTTTTTTTTCAATACGATCATTTGAAAGTCTATCGTTTAATTTTTTCTGAAGTTTAACCCATTCAGGATTTAAACAATGTTTAATTAATCGCGGAATATCTGACATCATCTATATATAGCTTCTTTTATAAAAAAAATAAAAAATAAATTATTTTAAAATTAATGTTAATTTTTTAAATGTGTTTATAAATTATATTTTAATGCATCGTCTATATATAGATGTAACAAAAAAAGTCACAAAACCCGCACTCATATACTACTAATGATGTTTAAGAAGTCAGCTTCTGTTTTACTTCTGTCTGTTGGATATATTGAGAATTTTGTGGCATTTGAGATAGAATAGGTTTCATATGATCAATTTTTGCAGCTAGATGAAAGTACATCCATAATATATGTCGCTCTAAATTAAACCACTTTATATGAAATTGAGTTCAAAAATAGTTACTGGGTTGGATTATTGCTATTTTTGATATTTCATAATTGAATTTATCAAAAATTAGATTTGAAGAATATTCTGATTAAATATGAGTTTGATATATCTTAGCCATCTAGTTTTCAATATATTTGTTTCATTTTTTATGATTTCGTTTTATTTGATTTTATCTTTATCTGTTAATACTTACCAGGCAGGCGGAATTGCCACAATAGGGCATAATGTGTTGACTGTTAAGTACTCTAATGAAGGTTATTTCGCTTCAATCACAGGAGTTATGGAATGTGATGAAAATCAAATGGTAATACCGAAAATTTTAACTATTAACCAACGAAAATTTATCTTACGATCAATATCTAATCGTGCCTTTGCATTGATTAATACGAGATACATATCTTTACCTGAAGGTGTTAGATCAATTCACAAAGAAGCGTTTGCTGCTTCAGATATCGTCTCAATTCACATCCCCTCAACACTCAGACGCATCCACCATAGCGCATTTGAAAATTGCTCAGAATTAACAGAAATTGATTTATCGAAATGTCGTGTTATCATATTAGGATCAAATTCATTTTATAAGTGCAAGAAGTTAACTATTGTACAGCTTCCATTTTGCCTTACCGAAATTGGTGCAAATGCTTTTGCTTTCTCAAATGTAACTCAAATCCAATTTCCAAGTTCAATTAAAACAATTCAGTCATCGGCATTCGAAAACTGCTTGAATCTTACTGAAGTTAATTTCGGAAATACAGCTCTAAAACGAATTCATTCTTCATGTTTCAATAAATGCAAGAGATTGACATCAGTTGTCTTCTCAAGGAACTTAACTCATATTTACAAGTACGCTTTCAATGGAACTGCTATAAAAATCTTCTCATTACCACAATCAGTCGTAAAAATCGGGTATCAATCGCTTTCTAGCTACAGATTGAAGTCAGTACATATTCCAAATACTAACACAATATATAAAACAGACCAAGGAATACTGTATAACGCAAAAAGAGATTCATTAATTTTATATCCATCATCAATCCATTCAAAGAAGGGAAGATTCACATTACTAGGATCAGTAACATCAATAGATCCTCATTCCTGCATGTATATGAACATAACTCACATAGAAATTCCAAAATCAGTACAAGAAATCGGAGATTACGCGTTTTATGGCGGAAAATTCGAAAATATAACACTTCCGAATTCAATCACTGAGATTGGTGATTGCGCATTTGAAAAATGTACTGAATTGAAATTCATTTCACTACAAAGTACCCAAATCACAGATATTTCTCATAAATGTTTCGCAAGTTGTTCCAAACTTTCTAAAATATCCATTCCTAGTGGAATTAGAAGCATCGGATTCAAAGCTTTCTTTAATACAAGTATATCTACCTTAGAAATCCCTCAAACATGCACTAAAATAGGGTATGGATTTGCTTCATTATGTAAACACCTTAAAACTCTAACTGTAAACAAAGAAAATAAAAAATTTGTGATGAAAGATGGAGCTCTTTATAGTTCTGATTTTACGTCGATCATTCTATTACCATTGAGCTCAGCAGGATCCAGTTTTAGAGTAATGAAGGAGACAAACTTCATTGCTCCACTTAGTTTCGCTTATCTTAAAATAGAAACAATAAAACTCGGAAAGCATGTTGAATGTATAGGTTCATATGCTTTCTATTCAACTGTTATTAGTAATATCGAGTTCCCTGCTAGCTTACAAACGATTTCTAGCAGAGCTTTTATGAAATGCTCGAATTTGACAACTATTAACACTCAATCGACTGGTTTGGAAGTCATTGGAAGCTTCGCCTTCATGGGCTGCAAGAATCTCCTTGAAGTCACTCTTCCAAGCTCACTAAAAAGTGTTGGAGAGAGAGCATTCAAAAGTTGTTCGTCTCTCAAATTGGTCAAATATTTCGGAGTGAAAGATTTGACAGGAAAAGCAGTTTTTGAGGGCTCCACGCCTATTGTATATGTAACAAGGAGATTCCCGCAAGTAACTCTTGCTGGTCTTAGAGTTAGAAGTTCAAATAATTAGAAATAAAATTATTTTGTTTGTTGTTTTTTTAATAATAAAAATAGATAGTCTTTCTTTAATACAAATAAAAAGAATAAAAAAAAATATGAAAAAACTTATTGATTGGCTTTTCTCTTGAAATAAACGACCTTCTTGTCCTGGTCGTCAACGTAGTTTTCAACCGGTGTATTTACAAGAGGTTCATTAAGATTTACGCTTATTGGGTCATTTGACTGGTAAACGGAGTTGCTGTTGTGCGCTCTCGGGTGGTCCTTGATGCACTTTACTGTTTTCCAGATAAGGAATATGATTAATATAATCATAGCAACACCTAAAATTGTCAAAGCTGTATATCTTAAAATGTAATTAGGCTGGGAGCCTGAGCATTGAATAAGATTCTGGTATGAACCCATCGGTACTAAGCGGCCATCAGAATATTTGCTTCCTTTTTGAATATCGCAAATATAATCAAATGGATTTACTCTTGAGCTCATATTTCCTTCAATAGTCCAACTCATTCCTGGTTGTGTTGAATTTAGTAATAAATGATAAGGGTTTATCGGTTGAATTAATTCTTTATTGAATTGAATATAAGTTCCATTTGAATAAACGTATGTATTTGCAGAAGGATTTGTAGAAGAAACTAAAGATGTTGCATATTTGTTCTTATATGGTATTAGACAGAAGTCTGAACTGTCCATATGATTGAATAAGGTGTTTACCTTGAAATAATTTTCATTTACTGTTATTGACGAGAACTCTCCAGTGCATTTATCGTAAGTAAGAGCTAAAATATCGAAAGAAACTGCATTGCCAGAATTTGATTGTATTGTAATGTTGTCGCCGTCAAATGAAAAATGGTTAACGGTAATATTTGTTTTGAGTGGATCTGTTCCATTCCACACCATTGTCATATTTAAGTATCCAGTTGATTGACTCTCGAAAAAGAAAAATAACCTGTGAGTCCTATTTACAGTTTGGAATGCAATAGATGACTTTGGATCTATCGTATAGGAGTTTACCCCTTCGTTTGTTACGTTTACTATGGAAAATGACAGAAGAAACAAGTTCATTTGGATCACGAATACAAATTATTCGAATTTGAATAATAAATTAGTTTTAATTTAGATTTCTATGATGATAACTGATAATCCCGCGAATTTCTTGTTTGGACATAATAATTGAATTTATCGGTAGCAGTTCAAAGAATATATTTTTTATATTTTCCGTAACAATACAATTTTTGCATTTAATTCATTGAAGTAACGGCATATATAATAAACACGAGTATCTGAAATATCAGCTTTTTATTTTAATTCTTTCTAACTGGTATATCCGTAATTTATCGTAAAAGTGTTTTTCTGGATAAGTCTTGATACAATAAAACTCCATTTCTGGATTTGACATGTTTTGATACAACGAAATGCATTTTTAGATTAACTTCTATTCATTTCTTAAAGAAATTTTGCTGGATACCATTTATATAACAAGAATTAATTAACATTTTCTAGATGCCTTAAGATTAAGAACTAAGAAGTGATGCATGGGCTCTATGTGTAGCATTCATTCAAATATTAATTGATAAATGTCATGATTCATGATAATCAAAACCTGTGAGAATTGGAGATATCGAACAATTTTGGTGATTTTGTGTTTATTAACTACTTTCGAGCTATTGTGATGCAAAATTAACAATCAATCCAATGATTTTAAAATTGAATAGTTTATAATTTTTGGCGGTCAAAAATGGAAAGTCTTGGTACAGATATCAACTGGAACGATATTGGAAGTTCCACTGTTAAAGAACTTAACTATGTCATCCAGCAAAAGCAGATTAAAATCGATGGTAAACCAACAAAAGGAAACCTCGTTAAAGCTTTAACGGAATATCGTGACAACGTAATCAAAAGTGCATCAGCATCACCAGTTGTAAAGCCACAAGCAGCTTCACCACGTTCACCACCAAAAGAAGAAACAAACGAATCTAAGCCGCCAGCTTCCCCTCGTTCTAAAGGCAGAGGGCGCAAGACAAAGGGTGATGAGACACCACAGCGTACCGAGGAGCCTGCAAGAGAGCCAAGTCCAAAGGCTGCTTCTCCAGAGGCTCCAATTACACCTGTTAATGTTGTTCACGAGTCTCCAAGAGTACCAACGCCACCACGCCAGGTCAGCCCATCTATTGCTGAGAGAACAGCTTTGCCAATTTCTAGCAAAAAAGCTAAATTCGAACTTGCTTCTATCTCTAAGACAGCACTCTGCATCTTGCCAATTCTTATTATTCTTGTTTTACTCTACTTTTTGGGTGCAGAACAATAAAAACGATATGGCCACTTTTTTATGAAAAATAAAATATAATAACTCATTTTCCACTTTTAAATGCTCCTAAAATGATGTTAACTGGATGTGTTTTTGCTTTTGCTAAGTAAAATATCAATTTAATGTATTTCAATTTTGATATTCTATAATTTCCAAAGAGTTGTTTTAAACGGAATTGATGAAACATTTAACTATGAGAAGATGTTTACATTCACATGTCTTTGCTATAGAATCAAGGCTTTCGAATCTATATTCATTTTGAGCACAAACGTATAGAAAAGTTACGGCGCGGTTCAATTTTAACGACATTTTTTAACGCGATACGAGCGTAAGTCCATAGAATGTGTTTTGAGGGAAACTATAAAAATCCAAAATAGAGGTAAGTGCGCCATTATTACCTGCGAAGTTACATGGAATAAATCGAAGAGTAAGTACAAGATGATCTTGCATCTTTTCAAGTAAATGAAATTTATTAAAATTAAGATGATAATATTCATTTATAGTATGTGTATGATGTGTTGTAAACAGAAATTCATCAAAAGTGACACCTCAGAAAAGCTAAAATATTGAATTTTTGGAACTTTTGATAGAGCACGTTTTTCAATATTAATTAAAGTAAATGTATATTTTGTAAAGATTCTTTTTAATAAAAAAATAAAATTTTGAAGAAGAACACAAAATCTTCTGAAAAATAATATCACATAAACTCATATTATTTTCTAATATATAACTATTTTATATAAAAATCAAGTTCAATGATCTTAAAAGCGAAGGATAAACCTCAAAATTTACGAATATAATGAGTGGGAATATAATGCTTATCTATCATAAAACCATATGAAATATCAATTTTTGCTTTACGCCTAATTTTTGACGACAATTAGCAAAAAATGTTAAATGTTAACACTCAGTCCATTTGAATATGAAAAATAAAATTGACTTTGATTAAATGTTTTTATTTATCATGCAATTCTTCTTGCGACCAAAGATTTGAATAAAAGTTCAAAAAATAAGATAGCTTAAAAAATAATATACGGTAGTGTTTACTAATAGATGAATAGTATATAAATTCTATTAAAATGGATTTGATCCAAAAAAATATAAAACCAAAAATAATTGTTATAATTTAAATGAAGAAGTAATTTAAAACGATTTTATTTATGATCAAATTTTATATATTTTTTTGAATATAAAAAAATGTTTTACATCATTGTTGAAAGAGTCAAATGCCTTCATTTCTCAAGTCCTTCGGATGACATATGGAAGAAATTCTATCCTGATGCTAATATTGACGCAAAAATTAATTCTAGTCAAAGAGTCACTCAAGGAAATAATGTTTTTATTGATTCTGTCCTATTCAAAGAATTCAGTGATACTGGCGTTATCCAAATAAGTACATATAATCCAGAAAATAAAGTTCTTGTTTCAAAATCTTCATTCATTAATTGTTCAAATCGTGATAATGGAGGGTGCATTCAATATTCAAGATCTGGACATATTATTCAATATAAAGTTTGTAGCTTGGATCCTTTTTCACCTGGAGGATCAGGATCACATTCATATATTGATTTGAGAGAGACAAATGAAGGTAAAGATTATGTTATTGAATCAACATTTGCACAAAGTTCTGGGAAAAGCGGTGCCTTTGATCATGATTATGGCTCGATTCTACTTTCATTAATCAATATTTCTGATTCAAATTCAAAAAATAATGTGAATTATGTTATTGGTTATCCCACTACCCTTGCCACAGTGAATTTCAGTCAGTTCAAAAACAATACGGCAAACGTGACATCTTGTTTTCAACATCTATATAGTGAACACAAATTTATATATTGTAATGTTGTTGAAAATTCTATTGAAGGTTCTGATCCTTTATTTTTCATTCAACAACCTCAGTTAACGATAAATCGATGTTACTTTAAAGGAAACAAAGCATATTATTTTACAGAGGCATGGGGTGGAACTGCATATTTATCTGAATCTCACTTTGAACCTGATAACGTTTTTAGTCACACTTTATTAAATAGCAATCCGATAGAAATGGGCCAAATTGTTTTTGATAACTATTATTCTTATTGTTTTTATCTATTCTCCTTGTTAAGAAAACCAGATAAAACTCTGGTTATAGATAATCCAAAGATTAACATTATCCATCTATACTCGATTGTTTCACAGTTATTATGATGTAAATTATAACTTTCTATTCAGAGAGATGAACAAAAAAAATGCTTTTGATTTTAAGGATACCCTTACATTGCGTAGTTAGAAAGAGAATATGATATTGTCATGATTGCTAAAGTTTTAGGCTCCAGAAATGAATATACATCAAACTGAAACAATTGATAAATTGAATGAACTTTTGAGAGGTTCTCAAATAAAAAAAATTATCTAATTTTTTACAATATTACTATTATTTTATCCACATATGTATATATAGTAATTTGAGAAAACTTTTAGGAAAAAATAAGTTTAATAAAAATCTGAATTTTACTTGTTGTGGGATTGTTATTAATTGACACTCCAGACGTATTACTAATAGTTATGCGTATGCAATTAAAGTATTTCTGATGGACAAAATGTGAGATTTATATCAGATAATTCATTTCTACTATTAAGTTATTCATTTATGAGTGATTTGCACTTATTCGCACTAAATAAATAACTATTAAAAATTGTTTTAATTAATTGACACCATATAATAGAGTGAATTTTGTTTGATCAAACAACAATAGATGATAGATATAAAGCCAAGAAACTTGCTATTAATATGCTCTACTTGCTATTTCAATGTAAGTATGATATTTTCTAAATGTTTCGTTCAGATAACTTAGATAGTCAAAATTTGAAATTTTAATAGCACATATATTAAAAATAATTATTCATAAAAGATTAATGAAATAGTAAAAAAAATCAATCAAATTATAAAAATACAACATTTAGAAGAATTCTTTTATCCTTCAAAAAGTCAGTATTTCTGCTGTAATTTTCTACAACATTGTAGTTATTGCACTTTGTCTATGGATTTGTATATATGTTATATATAAATTATATATCTAAACTGCCCATAAGTGCAATTTTTATATAAATTGTTTATTTCTTTAACAATTTCATATGAAATATGCTTTTTTAAGCGTATCAAAGCTGTGTTCTTAATGTGCATGGATATATCAAGAAAAATGTCGAAAAAAAAATGTGAATTCACAAATTCACTGAATTTTCACCGTTTTTTGAATTTTGCTACAGCACTAATATTAAATAATACTAAAATCTTCTGTCTTTGTAAAAGAATAAATTCTGACAAAAAGTGCTCGTTTAAATTTAATGATCATCTGTATGACTAAGTGGTAAAAAGTGTTTATGACCAAAAAAGGGTTACATGCTTAGTCTATTTTTCTGACAGGATACTCTAGATTTACATGATCTCTATTTCATATCTCTTTTTAGATTCTTCGACAGATTTTATGATAGAAAACCAAGATTAACAAATTTCCGGTATGTTAATGAAGAAATCTGCAGCTACCCTCAATATTATTTCAATAATCAGTATCGTTTCTCTTACAATTTATTTTTTTCTCAATAATTTAACAAGAAATAACAATACACACTTGGTTTTACGTATAAAAGCTAAGTGTCGAACTTAATCAACTTTACTTACTTAGCAAATGAATATTTTTGTGGTTGCGAGTTCTGAATGCTGAAGTTTTAGATTTCTCTATAAATGATATCATTGCACTTACAATGTTGTTCCAGCCTATCGCATAAATCATAGAAAATCCAAAAAAAAAAATAATATAAAGAAAATTCATGTCATGAAGTTCAAAAAATACCGTGTAACATTAAAATTTGTTATGCATAATACATTTTAGCTATTATATTTTTTTTTTAATTTTCGAGAAATTGAATGGTGAGTCCGATAGAGAAATTTTTAAAAATCCTAGTGCCTCATAGAAGTAATTTCCCTCGTCTCCCATACTTCCAAATGTATGCATATGACATAAACTTTTATGCATTACACAAATGGCCAATAATATCTATAGAGTAAAAAATTAGAAATTTAATTTTTTTATATGATAGTTATATTTCAGATTTGCGAGCGTAACTTTTTTCTCCATGGCATACTTGTTTTAAGAGCAAATGATCAAAATCGTCCTTCAATTATTGAAGGAGCTGATATCTTTTGAAAATTGAATTGAAAGGGTATTCAATTTTCAAATTTCCTCTCAATTTTGGAAACATATCAACTCTATGAATTAACAATTATGTGCCTTCACAGTTTATCAGTCATATAAGGTGCTTATAAAGAAAAAAGTTACGCTCGCAAAATATGTTTTTATATAGATTTCACATAAAATAATTATGTAATTTCTAAAAAGAATATTTTTGTTCTTGAATATTAAAGTGTATTGTAGTTTAAAAAGTTTTAAATATGTTGCTAAAATTTCAGGTTTATAGCTCATGTCTAGCATGACTTCTTCGTATGCGCAAAAAATCTGACACGTAAGGGTATCCTTAAATCAAAAACGTAAAAATTATGTTTTACTGAAGCTCATTAAGCTGCGCCTCGTATCTCTCGAGAATGGTACGGGCTCTGATAACGCGAGATTCGAGGTCCAAACGCTTGAGAAGCTGTGGCTTTGATTGTTTCTTTGCGGAAGATGTAACACCGCCACCAGCAGCTGCTCTTGCCTTCGCAGCCTTCTTCTGTTCCTGGATACCTTCGGCGGTAGCCTTGACGTTCCTGGATGTCTTCAAGACGATGTTGAATGCTTCAAGAAGAGCCTGGTCTTCAATGCCGGAGCCCTTCTGTACGTTCTGGCAAACACCTGCGAGTGCATCCATGATTCCGATGACGATTCCTTCTGGTTCGTCTGCGCCGGCGAGGATCTTCTCAACGTCAGCAGAGATCTTAGCGAGCTGCCGTATGACGTTCTCGCCGAGATCTGCGTGCTTGTTGGAATTGGCTGATGGGTGTTCCTTGGAGTGGAGCATAATCTTGATTGTAGCCTTGGAGAGGGCTGAGCCGAGAGAAAGAACCTGGAGGGCCCATTCTCTGGACATTGATGATGGACGCTCCTGTGCGGCCTGGAGCTGGGAGTCGACCTTGGAAGCGGCTGTCTGGAGTGGCTTGAGGGCAGCACGGAGGCGCTTTGTGACGGCATCGTTCATTGCTTCTTCGCGACGAGCGATTTCGACGGCCTCGTTGACTACCTTGATGGCTGTGGACAACTCGTTCTCGAGGGACTGCTTGGCCTCTGCGGAAGTGTTGGCCCAGTCGCCTCTGAGGAGGAATCTGTTCCTGAGGGCTGTGAGGAGTGACTCGAATGAGTTGACGATGTTGGAAGCGCCAGTTGTGAGCATGTTCTGGTTGGAAAGTGTTGTCGTCGTTGCAGATGCGCGGAGAATCTGTTCGACGGCAGCCTTCATTGCCTTCGCGTAGTTGACCATTGCAGTAGCTGTCTTCTTGTTGTCCTTGGCTGCTGCAGCTGTGAAGAAGGCCTTCTCCTGGTCGATTGCGGCGTTGGCGAGCTTGGTGAGCTGCTGGGCCTGCTCTGCAAGTGTGGCGTTGATGTCGGATGGAACTGGAGGCATTGTGAAGTGCTGTGGTAACATTTCGGCAGCTTCGAGATCTGGTTCTTCGATTTCGACATCTGTCAATCTGTTGAGAGATGTCAATGTGTTTCTGGATGATGAAGCGACTTCCAACAACTTGGACAACAATCCAGACATGGAGATGTTGTTCAAGTTGTTTGTCAAGTCGTTGATTGAGTGTGTGAATGTGCCGACATCGCCTTTGAATGCGATGTAAGCGTTCTTGTCTGTGTTCGGCTTCTCGATCTCGTCAGCTCTCTTTGCGAGGTCGTTGAGAGACTGTGTGAGCTGTGGCATGCACTTCTGGAGGGAAACAGCGAATGTTTCTGGGATCTTGGCACTGTTGTGGGCTGCAACAGCACCCATGAGAACCTGGATTGTGCTTGTGAGTGCCTTGAGGACTTCGAGCTTGGCCAAGTCGATGGCGGACTTAGGCTTCTCTGTCCATTGTGGTGTCTCTGCGTCTTCGAGCATATCGATGAGGGAATCGATCATTCTGTTGAGGGAACGTGTTGTTCTGCGGACTGCTGTTGGGTTAGTGGATGAGTCGCCACCGAGTTCGTCGATCGACTTCAACGATGAGACGGACATGGCGAACTTTCCGACTAAGTCTGAGTAGTTGCCTGGGTTGTTGGCGTTTGTGACCAAGAGAGATCTTGCGGCCATGGACTCGCCAGTAGAAACTGTTGTGAGGATGTCTGTGATGGCGTTCTTGACGAGCTTGCGGTCCTTGCGTGTGACAGAGCGGACGAATCCGTTGACGCCTGTCTGGAATCTAGCGCGCTTGTCCAAGAGAGAGTCGCGGGCTGTTCTGATGTTCTGGATTGAGGCGATCTCCTTGAGTGGGTCTTCGGAGTACCGTGTGATGACTTCGATGAGTTTCGGCTTGATCGATTCGAGCTTCTTGCCGAGCTCTGCGGAAACTGGGCTCTGCTTTGCCTGGAGCTCGAATGATGGTCCTTCGACGTCTGCGAGCTGCTGCTTGACAGCATCAAGTGGGGCGTCCTTGGTGTTGGAGGAAGCAGCGGCGGCGTTGAGGGCTCTTGTGTCGATGAGGGACATTGTGATCTCATCGATGTCCTTTGTATCGATGGAGCGCTTGACGTTGGCGAGTGCATCGACTGACTTGAGTTCGATGCCTCTCTCAGCGCAGATGGCGTTGAGTGCTCTGATGGCTGTCAACAACTTCTCGATGGCTGTGTAGCACTCCTGAGATGCCTTTGGATCGGAGAGTGATGCAGCTGTTGTTGAGACACGTGCTGACATGATGGCGAGGTCTGTTGGTGTGCAGCCGATGAGTTTGCGGGCTGACTCTGGAAGTGTTGAGACAACGCGGATTGCGGCGGCGCAGAGCTGTGGCATGACCTGGAGGAGTGTCGAAGCATCGACTGGGTATGATGAACCCTTGTGGTTGAGGAGCCTTGTCAAGATGACACCTGCGGACTGTGTCTCTGTGGCAAGGATGGACTTGCACTCCGAAACTGGGACCATGGACATGGATGGGAGCAATCTCAAGATGGCTGCGAAGAGGTTGGCCTCGGCTGTGGCGAGTTGATGTGTGGATGGTGTCTCGTTCTGAGCACGGATTGTGAGATCGTAGTCTGGAATTGCGACTGGGAAGTCTGTGATGGCCTTCTTCTCGACCTTGTTGAGCATTCCGATGATTTCTGCGATCTGTCCGGCGATGATGACGAGCTGCTCCTTTGGACATCTGTTGATGTAGTCACCGAGCTGTTCGTCGGAGATACCGAGCATTGTGGCGATTGTATCCTGAGCCTGGGCGTACTCCTGGATGGAGTATGAGCCAGCCTTGGCATCCTTGATGATGTCGTTGATCTTCTTTGCGATGTTGATGAGCTTCTCGAGCAAGTTCTGCTGCTGTTCTTCGTACTTGATGGAGTTGATGACTCTGGATGTGGATCCTCTCTGGAGTGGCTGTTCAACAGCGAGCTTGGCGAGGTCTGCGATGTTGTCGACGGAGACTTCGTGCTGGAGGAGACCGGCAGAGATGAGGACTGCCTGCTGGTTGGAGAGCTCGTCGTCGTTGAAGCGCTCGAGTTGAGATGACAATGCGGAAAGTGTCATCTCCATCTGCTTGATAACTTCGTCAACCGATTGCTTCTTCGCATTGTTTGACATTGTTGAAGCAGGTGTGCAGTCTGCAACGTTGCTGCGGTTGATGAGGAGTTTGCCGATCTTTGATGCGAGATCGACTTCCTTTCTTCTCTTGGCAGCGATTGCCTGGAGCTCCTGGATCTTCTGGGCTGTGAGTGGGTCTGGTGTTCCCTTCTGCTGCATGGCGAGAAGGCAGGCGCGGTCGAAGATGGAGTCTCTGTAGCCGGCGCCGTTGAGTTTGGTGACAGCGTCGTTGAGAGATGCCAATGAGCCTTCAACGAGAGCGAGCAATGCTGCTGCCTCGTCTGGCTTGAGCTGCTGGACCTTGGATGAGTAGTCCTTGAGTGGTGTCTGCTTGAAGTTCTCGAGCTCTTCGAGTGCCTGAGCTCTGTTCTCTGCCTTCATCTGTGGCTTGACATTTGGCTTGGCCGCGTTGATTGCCTTCTTGATGTTGTTGAAGAGTGTGGCAGCGACGAGAGCGTTGTGGACCATGTCGTTCTTTGTGAAGGAGTTGTTGATGCCACTGGATGCTGGAGCGAGGTAGAGTTCTGTGCCAGAGGCTGGAGTGAGTGCGTTCGTCATTGATGAGATCATTGTTGTGTCTGATGAAGCAACTGTCTCCTTGCGCGGTGGGACGAACTTGAGGAACTCTGGAGATGAAACAACAGACAATGCGTACTGTGCTGCGTCCTTCTCCTGGTTGGACAACTTCGGTGTCTCGTTGGATGGGTTGTTGACCTGGTTTGTAGCGGCGTCGAGGGCCTTCTTCATGTTGCTCTCGATTGGCTTTGGTGGGACTGTGGCCATTGGTCCTGCGAGCTGTGAAATAGCGCGGAAGACTGCAAGCTTGGCCTGTGTATCGTCGATGTATGTGAGGGCGGCTTCTGTGAGCTCCTGGTCGACGTAGTTGTTTCCGAATGTGTTCGGGTTCTCCTTTGACTGAGCGAGCTGCTGCTGGAAGAGTTCCTTGAGGACCTCGTTCTGTGTCATGTTTTCTGGGTTGAGCTTGTCGGCATTCTTTGTGAGGATGTCGATGGCTAAGTTGATGACACGTGCCTGGAGGAGAACTTCTTCTGGAGACATTGAGGACTGGATGATCTTGAGAGATTCTGGAAGAGAAGCGAATCCCATCTGTTGGGCGATGCCCTGCTGGATCTGGATCAAGTCGTGCTGTGGGATGTTCTGGCGGAGAACGTTCATGCCTTCTTCGGTACGAGCGAACTTGGCCGCCTTTGGATTGTTTGTGCCAGCAGAGAACTTGAGTGCCATGAGTGTCTGGAGGAGCTGCTCGACAGCGGACATCTTCTGGAACGCTCTGGCTGGGTCTGCCTCTGATGATGGGTTCTTCATGATCCAGTTGACAATCTCTCTTGTGTTGTAAGAGTTCTTGACTGGCTGGTTCATGAGGGAGTCTGTCATGTGTCTGAGGAGCAAGAGCTCGTTGAAGACCTGCTCCTGAGACAAGTTCTTGGCGTACTTGTCGAACTTCTCTGGGTCTGCGATGAGGCCGAGCATGTTGTTGATTTCGCCGGCAGTGCGCTGGATGTCACCTTCATCCATCTGCATGAGAGCAGCGGCAACCTGTTGTGGGTTGTCGAGGAACTTGATGAGATCTGGGTAGAGCTGGAGAAGGAGCTGCATGAGTTCTGCAAGACGTGCCTGCAACTCGAACTGCTGTGTTGTCTCAGAGTTGAGGTTCTCAAGAGCAGCGATGCCTGGAGCTCCAGTTGGGTTGGACTGGATATCGATGACGGACTTCGGGATGTTCTTTACGCCGTCCTTCCTCTTCTCCTGCTTGATGTGCTTTGTGGAGTCTGCGACCTTCTTGGACTTGTCGAGCTCTGTCTTGATGATCTTGGCAGCAGCAAGGCAGTCCTTGTCTGTGATGAGATCGAAGTCGATTGTGCGGGATGAATCGTCGACAACCTGCTTGGAGAAGTCGATTGGGTAGGACTTGATGATCTGGTTGAGCATCTCCTTGAGCTTGTCCACGAGCATGTTCAACATCTGCTTCGTGACCATTGGAGAGTTGGACATGTTCTGCTTGAGAGATGAGATGAGGCGCTCGATGTTCTCGACTTTGTCCTTTGTCTTTGGCTCAAACTTGGCGAGTTCGTGTGCCCAGATTGCGTCGTGGAGGCATGTCTCGAGGCGGCCTTCTGTGAGAGCTAACTGCTGTGGTACTGTGGCTTCCTGGATGAGCTGTGGTGCGTTGTAGAGGTAGTTGCCAATGTCTGCCTCTGTCTGGTTGCGGAACTTAGGCTCATCGATCTTGTTGGCCATGGCGGACCACATTCTGATGGCTGGTGTGATCTTGTTGATTGTATCGGAGATGGCGATGGCCATTTCACGACCGTTGGAGACAACACCAGATGACTTGATGGCTGGAAGGATGTTCTTTGTGAAGGCGAGGTACTTGTTGGACTCGTCGGCCATGTCGCTCCACTTGATTGTGAGGAGACGGTCCTTGCGCTTGAGCGGTGGAACCATCTCGCGGATGAACTTGTTGACTGTCTTTGGAAGCAAGTTCTTCTGGTCGTCGCTGAGAGCTGTTTCGAGGTTGACGAGGAGGGAATCGATCTGGCCGTTGAACATGTTGGAGAGGGCGAGATCTGACTCGTACAACCACTGTTCGTACTCCTTGTTTGCACCTCCGAGGTTGTCGAAGTCCTTGAGTCCAGCGCGTTCTGCGGACTGGAGAAGGAGTCTGCAAGCCTGCTGTACGTTGTGCATTGGATCAAGAAGGATGATAGCTGCAGAGATGGAGCCGCACTTGACGAGAAGCTTGGTGTCTGCAATGGCAATTGCGTACTTGAGGTAGGCGAGTCTGTACTCGATTTCCTCGTTGAATGCGCCTGTAACCATATCTGCTTCTGTTGCGAGGTTGTTGAGAGCGTTTGCTGTTCTGACGAAATCGCGGACGGATAATTCTTCGAGTGCAGCAGCTCTGACTTCTGGGTTGTCTGATGTGAGAGCGAGGAGGAGTGCAGCACGAGCAGCGATGAGTGGATCGCCACTTGAGAGGAGTGGAGCGATTGCCTGAGCGGCCATCTTGACGAATGGCTGCATCATCTCTGCCTTATCAGCGATGGCACCGATGTTCTCTTCGAGAGCAGCGAGAACGTTCGGAGGAACGTTTGTTGTGTTGCCAGAAAGGAAGTCTGCAACGGCATCGAGAGCCTGCTTGAGGACTTCTGGTGCAACAGCTCTTGTCTTTGGATAGAGTTGTGTGGCGAATCCAGCACTCTGAGAGGCGGATGTGTACTTGCCTGTTGTATCGAGGATGTTGAAGATAGCGTTGGCGAGGTCATTCAACTCTGGATAATCCATGACGAGGCCGATGAGGTTGTTGAGCTTGGAGTGGATGTCGTCGCAGATTCTCTGAGCCTGGCCTGGCTTGGCTGTCTTGAGGTCGTCGTACCATGCCTGGGATGTTGGTGGAAGGTCCTTGAGAGGAGCAAGAGCTGGTAAGTTGGCGTTCTGTGTGTAGCCTGGTCCCTTGAGAGCCTCGATGAGCTTCATAAGCTGTGGAAGGATGAGTGTTGTGAACTCCTTGTGTGTGGCAGCGTTGAAGTGTGGCTTCTCGAGAAGTCTGGCGATTGTCTGAGCGTTGGATGAAACGTTCTTTGTGATATCAGGAAGCTTTGGAACACCGACAATTGAGGAAACAAGTTCGGAGTTTCCAGCAACTGTCTGTAATCTGTCCTTGGAGTTTGTGAGAACTGGAAGGAGCTTCTTCTCGTCGACCTTTGCAGCGTTGACATCGATGGAAAGCTGGTTGAGTAAAGCAGCCATTTCGTCAATGAGGTGCTTTGTGTGTGGTCTGTTTCCGAGCTGTGGTATTGAGGAAATGCTCTTGATGAGTCCGGAAAGATCGTTGAACTGCTGGACCATTTCTGGGATGGACTGGTCGAGCTCTGCATCCTGGTCGAGACGCTGGAAGAGATTGATGTCCGCGTTGACGGATCCCTTCGTCGGGATGTTGCGGACACAAATGACTGCCTGCGAGATCTTTGCGTTTGCGAGACCGAGGACGTCGAGTAACTTGGCCATGACATCCTTGTCGATTGTCTTTCTGAGGTTGGATGGAACGCTCTGGACATCGTTGTTCAAGGAGATGAGCTGACCAAGGAGTGCCTTGAGAGACTGGAGTGTGTTTCCTGTCTTTGGAACTGCCTTGAGCATGTTGTCGCCGGCCTTGAGTGCCTTGATCCAGCTCTCGAGGTCTTCGAGTGCCTTCTTGTCCTTCTTGATGTCCTTGTCGTTCTTGAGAGCTTCAAGGGCCTTGATGAGGGCTTCTGTTGGCTCAATGCAAGCTATGATGTCCTTTGTGGCCTGTTCAGCTGTTGGAACGACAGCCTTGAGGAGATTTCTGAGTGGTGGAAGTGTTGTTCTGGAGATATCTGATGGAGATGGGCCAGAAACGTGCGGTAAACCATTGAGTTTCTGTGGCATTCTCTCGATTCTGTTGTACATCTTCTCGAGGAGGTGATAGAACTGCTGTGTATCGTATGGCTTGAGTTGCTTCTGCTCAGCCATCTTCTGCTTGATGTAGTCGATTTCCTTCTGGACTTTCTCGGCATTCTGCTTGTTGTTTGCGATGGCGTCCTGCTTCTTCAGGTTGCTCATCATCTGGATGTAGTCTGCGAGTGCCTGGTTGAGCTTGTTGATCTGGTCTCGTGTTGGAGGAAGTCTGTACAACTTGATTGGAGCGTCCTTGAGTGATGAAACTGCAGCAGCGACGGACTTGACTGCCTCTGTGATTGCGTCAGAGAGTTCGTTGTTTCTTGTGATCTCTGTGACTTCAGCAGCTGGCAACTTCATCAAGTTCATTGTCTGTGCTGTCTTCTCGAGGTCTCTAAGTGCCTGGTTGATGGCCTCCTTGTCGAATGGGTGCTCGTGGAGTTCTGCACGGTCCTTGACGAGGGCTGTGTATAAGTCGGCAACCTTCTCAAGAATTGCATCGAGCTTGGCAAGTGTCATTGGGTTCTTCTTCATTGCCTCAAGTCCCATGACTCTGTTGGTCTGGTTGATGATGTTGGCAACAGCTGTCATGGCGTTGTGGTACTTCTCGATGTGCTGGCATCTGTCGAGATCTTCAAGCGGTGGAATGTCGTATAATGTAGCATCGAGATCTGTGATGAGACGTTCGATGATAACTGGGAATGATCCATCGTTTGTGTTCTTGTAGATCAAATCGACAGCTGTCTGGAACTTCGGAAGTTCGTTGGCGAGCTTGAGGAGATCGACTTGGAGGAGTCTCTGTGCCTGACCATTGACCATGTTCTTTCTGAGAGCAGCGATGTGTGTTTCGATGGCATCGATGTCGGCCTTGAGATCGGCAACAGCCTTCTCGGATGTGACGAATGATTGCTTATCACGGGCCTGCCATTCATCGGCATTGATGGCCTCGAATCTTCTGATCATGATCATTGCGTCGTCGATGACCTTGTCAACGTTAGCTGGGATGATGTTGACGAATGAAACAGCGCGAAGAGCTGCTTCGAGGTCGGAGATGACTCCATCAACTGATTTGTCGAGCTTCTTGAGATTTGGCTGCTTCTTTGTTCTGATCTTGTTGAGAAGGAGCTTGAGCATATCGAGTGCCTGCAATGGAGCGTTGATGCTGTTTGGATTGAGGGCGAGTTCGATTGCAGCTCTTGCGAGGAGATCGGAGAGTTCCTTAGCCTCCTTCTGCATGTCTGCTGGCAACATCTTCATCTGGGCATCGATTTCCTTCTTTGCCTTGATGAGTGTGAGCATGGCAGCGTTGGCGGCCTTTCTGTTGTTCAACAATGTCTTGTTGAGGTCGCCCTGTGCAGCCTTGGAAGCGTTGGAGAATGAAGCGAGGGAGGAGCTGATGGATGTTGTGCCGCCAGTGAGATCTCTGATGAGGGCGTCGAGGTCCTTATCAGAAAGGTTGGCCGTGAGGACTAAGTCAGCGATTGACTTGATGAGGGCGTCCATCTGCTCGAGCTGTGGAATGACAAGCTGATCGAGAACACGTGGATCTGTTGAATCGGTGAAGTTAGCTGCAAGACGTGTCAAAGCGTCTGCAGAGTTCTCCAAGTTGCGGATGAGAGCACGTGTATCGAATCCTAAGCCCTTGAGCTTCTCGAGATCGTTGATGAGAGCGAGTGTGAGGTTGTCCTGTTGCTCTGTGAGTGCGATGAGAGCTCTTGAGACTGGTGTGAGGTTCTTGTTGGATGTCTTTGCGAGTTCGACAATCTTCTTGTCGATCTGTGACTTGAGAGTTGGCATTGATGCAAGAGCCTGGTTGATGAGGTCCTGGATCTGGTCCTTGTATCTGTAGAGTTCCTGATCGGACTGTTCGATCATTCTGCCGAGATCTCTCAACTGCTTGATTGCTTCCTTGAGCTTGAGGTATTCGTTTCTGAATTCCTCACTCAAGTCATCTGGGTTGATGAGAGCGAGCATATCATCGATAGCGTTGAGCCTTGCGTTGAACTCTGTTGGTGTCAACTTGTTGAAGTCGTCGATGAGCCCCTTCAAGTTCTTCTCGATGGCCTCAATAGCCTTCTTGGAGCGGGAAACAGAGTGTCCCTGTGGAGAAGCAATCCAGAACTGTGATGGATCGACGTACAAGTTCATGATGGTTGCTGGAGCATCAACAAGATCGAATTCAACATTAGCTGGTTGATTTGAATCAACGTTGTATGTTGAGTAATCTGCGTTGTTCTCGAGGAAGTTGAGATTGAGATCGTCGATGGAAAGGTTGTCGATGTTGAGGCCTTGATCTGTAACATCCAAGTTGAACATGCTTGGCTTGAAGTCTTCTGTAAAGCCGTAGTTTTCGACACCAGCGCCTGGGTTGTTCTGGAGCTTGAGAAGGATTGCACGGATTTCATCGATTGTAAGGAGATGTCCGTACTCGTTCATGAAGTGAGACAATGTGTTGATGTATGTGAAGACCTGGTTGACACGTGGAGAGCGGATCATGACGAAGTTAATGAAGTTGTTGTCGTTGTAGTATCTGATGACCATGTTTCCTTCCTCGTCTGGGTAGTACTGGATGATCTTGACGTAGTCGATTGAGTCAAAGACCTTTCCACCAGACTCGATTGTCATTGCGAATGGAGAAAGAGCAAGAACACCTGGTCTCCAGTCCTTGAATGCGTTCTTGAACTCGATGTCGTGGTACTCAGCACCGAAACCGCGGAGTTGGCAAACTTCTGCGATGTACTTAGCCTGAGCATCTGGATTGTTGACTGGAACAATGGAGTGGGAAATTGTGTCGACCTTCTTCTGGGCAACTTCTGAGTTCTGGAACTGGACTGGTAAGATCGAAGAAGCTCCGAATTTCTCCAAGTATGGGTTGAAATCGGAAACGTTCGGGATCTGTGCGTAGACGGAATAGATACCGAGGTAAGCAGCGAGATCTTCTGATGTTGGGATAGCACCGGACATGATTGCGAGCTTGCAGTCTTCGTAGAGAGAAGTGATGTTGAGTGGATTTTCGAAGAACTGGTGTGTGAAGACGTAGAATCTTCTGCGGAGGTACATATCCCAGATCATGTCTGTCTGGTATGGAAGAGAGAACTGCAAATCGAGTGGTGTGAAGTCTGGTGTGTACAATGTGTAGCCATCTTCGACACCAAGGCCAAGCTGTGAAAGGATTGTCTGGCAGATTGTGTTGATTGGATCTGAGACGTGGATCTTGTGCTTTGTGATGAAGTTCTGGGCAGACTCGATGTAGGACTCTGTCTGTGGCTTCATGTAGTAGAGAACGATATCTGGGCGAGTAATGACGTTTCTTACAGCGACGTCGTCTTCAAGGAAGCGGAAGGAGAAGTCAGCAGAGAAGTAACCGATCTTGTAGCCGAGATCCTTGACAAAGAAGTGCTTCTGGAGAACATCGCAAACTTGTGCGGCTGTTCTGTTCGGGTTAATTCTGATGACACGTGGTCTTCTTTCGTTGAATCTTCCAGCGAAGATGAGTGGAATTTCGCCCTGTTCGACTGGAATTTCCTTGGTGTTGTAGTATGAAACCTTTGCGATTGATTCGCGAATCTTGAGTTCTGGGATAACGACCTTGATGAGCTGGATGATCTTGTTCTCGATTGGGCAGGCATCTGGTGTGTGGAATTGTAAAACAGTTGATTCGCCTTCGTCGGATTCAATTCTGACGTACAATTCGTCCTGGATGGCCTGGACATTGAGAACGTGCTTCATTGAAACAGAGATTGTCTCACGGGAAGCAGTGTCGAAGTTAACCTTGAGCTGTGTGGAAGAAATGGAAAGGTGGACTGGAAGATCACCCTTTGGATCGGCAAGCTTGGCATTGTATGTCTGGCGGTCGAAGCCGTTCAACTTCTGGACCTGGATGATGTATGTACGAGCAGCGTTACCTGCTGTCATAGCTGGTGTTGTGGCGAGCAAGTTGTTGAGCTTGGCGATGTACTGTGGCTTGGAAATCATACCAACTGGTAAGAAGCCATCGAGTGTTGTGAACTCCATCTTCTTGACGAGATCTGGGTTATCAGCGTGCATGAAGATATCGTAGACAGCAAGTTCGAGCATCTCTGACTCGTTGAGAATGCCTTGGCCGGAAAGTGCAGCTGCCTTGAAGTCTTCTGCCATCTTGATAACGACGAAATCGTTCTGCATATCGTACTTGGAGTTCATGTAGTAGTAACGGCGGAAGATGAAGGAATCGAAGATTGATTCCTGCTCTGGGACTGTGTATCTGAGATCCAATGGCTTGTTTGTATCTGCCTTGAAGATTGTGTAGCCGATTGGCATTTCGATGTCGAAGTGGGCTGCAAGACGTGGGATGAGATCCTTGATTGGCTTTGTAACATCGATAGCTGGGTATGTGTAGTTGACACCATCCATGGAGATCTTGATCTTCATGTATCTGTTGTAGACAGACATGGGGATGTTCTCGTATGGACGCAAGTTACCGATGAGCTCTGAATCGAGGACCCACTTGTGATCTTGCTTTGTGAAGTTCAACATGCATGCGTACTCGCCACGTGGATGGAGACCCATGAGCTTTGTAACTCTCTGGGAAACCTGCTTGCCGTTGAGACGAGAATCGAGAGCAATTGACTGCTGAACGTTTCTGTTATCGGCCAAGACGTAGTTAGCGAGAACTGTGATTCTGTAGCATGTTGCGACTTCTTCAACATCGAGACCTTCGGCGATCGCGTTGTTGAGAATTTCCATACCGATGTGGATGTATGATGTGATGATCTGCTTGATGAGGGCAGCCTGTGGTGACTTGAAGAGGTCGTAAAGACGCTCTCCATTGTTTGTGCAGTGTGCGAGTGAGAGCATGTCTTCGACCTGGTTGACGTCGAGGAGGTTGCAGTACTCGAAGCACATGTACTTCTCCTTCTTCTGGAGATCGCATGTGTAGATCTTGTATGGTGTGACATAGAGTAAGCAGTCCTTGAGAACTGTTTTGCCCTTGACTGTGTCGTAGTACTGGACTTGGTAAATTTCGGAACCGAATGTTTCGATTGAACGAGCAAGAGCGATGTACTTACGACGGGCATCGTTTGGATCTTCGATTGGCATTGTCTTGCAGAATCCTTTGATATCCTTGCCCATTGATCTGGCAAGCTTCATTCCCTTTGGAACGTACTTGTTGAGGTCTTCTGGGACGTTCTTTGCCTCGAGCTTTTCGTTCTTCTCAGCGATAAGCTGGTAGTAAGCGAGTTCTGCGACTTGCTCGTTTGTGAGGTCCATTGAGCCAGAAAGAACGAGTTCGACGATATCGGAGTATGTCTGCCAAAGAGCACGGTTATCGAGGAAGTCTGCACGAGAAATCATGTAGAAACGACGCTTGAAGACGATATCATCGAAGTTGTATGTTTGTTCTGGGATAGACTTGATAAGTTCGAGTGGTAACTTCTCTTCAGGACGTTCTGTATTTGGTGTGAAGAGTGTGTAACCAAGGAAGTTGGAGATACCGTACTTGGCGGCGATCTGCTTGAGCAAGCCCTTAAGTGGCTGTGTGATATCGAGCTTGATTGTCTTGGAAATGTTTGATGCAGATGTGATCTTCATGAGTGGTGTTGTGTTGAGGATAACGAGGTGAGACTTACGTGTTGGGTTGACATCGAGTAATGTCTCCTTCGGGCCGAGCCATGAGAAGCTGCCATCAGGTGAAATGATAACGACTGAGTAGACCTGTGTTGGCTTCTGCTCGATCTGGAAGTACTTGGACATTTGGCCGACAAGTTCTTCTCCGTTTGCAGAGAGATCGATCCAGAATGTAGTCTTGGACTTCTTGTAAACTGCGAGATCCTGGGAAATCATGAGATCAATCATTGGGCCATGGATGACACCGTACTGATCTGTCCAGCCACCGGCGAGCTTCTGGGCAGTTTCCGCACGCTGCCTAGCGAGTTCGCGCTGACGCTCCTTGAGCATCTGCTGGTAGATGTTGAGTGAACCATCGACCATTGTCTGGAATCTCTGCATATCGTTTGTTCTGATTTCGAGTGTAACGACAGAGTCCTTGTTTGTATGGTGTGTTGCATCGCAGAATGTGAAGTGGATAACTTCCTTCATGATCTTTGTTCTGATAACGAGTGTCCATGGGATCTTGTATACCTGCTTTCCGCTTGAATCCATGAGGTAAACAAGAAGTGGGCAGTAACGGAATTCACCATCAAGGAACTTTCCTTTCTTCTTCAACTTTGTGTCGATAATTCTGTACTTGACGTCCTGGCATTCTGCACCGAAGAATGGGACATCTCTGAGGATCTTGAGGTAAGCTCTGATGTAGTTGATTTCCTTGTCCTTACGTGGATATGTTGGGAAGTACTTGACGAAGTTCTTCTTGAAATCTGACTTGCACTTGAATGTTGTTGGAAGCCACTTTTCAAGAGCGAAATCCTTGGCCTGAACGCAAGCATCATCCTTGCCTTCGATCAAAAGAGAAAGTGCTGTCAACTCCATGAGTTCCTTATCTGTTGCCTCGCACTTTGCGTGTAAGAAGTATTCGCGGGAATCGTTGTAACCGATCTTGGAAAGCTGTGCAGAAGCAAAGTCATCCTTAGAAAGCATGAAGAAACGACGGCGAAGATACAATGTTGAGAAGTGTAATGTCTGTTCTGGAATTGGATACTTGTAATCGAGTGGTTCCATTTCATTGTTCTTGTGAACGAATAAAGCGTAACCGTGTACATAAGGTTGCTTGATTTGTTTGAAGATGTCTGTGACAACATCCTTGCAAGGTGCTGTCAAATCAAGGAATAACTTTTCATCTGTGTCACCGAACTTGATTGAGATCTTGGCCTTGTTTGTAAGGATGTATAACTTGGAGCCTTCGAAAATACCAAGTTGGCCAACAGTGACATCGGAGTTCAGCCACTTTCTCTGTGTGTGAATTGTGCAGAGAACGCCGTAGTCATCGATCTTCTCAACTGGAAGACGAAGCTCCTTCATGGCGAGCTGGAGAACCATCTTGCCTGTGAAGGACTTATCGTACTCGATTGGAACTGGTTCCTTATCGGAAATGCCGTTGTATGTATCGAGCTTGAGACGATCCATCTCGGAAACTGGGCCACGCCACTTACCTTCGAGACGAAGCCTTGCACGCTCGAGAAGGAGGTTGCGCTGGATGGAGTGGAAGGAGTTGATGACATCGTGGATTTCATCAGCGTGTTTGGAACGGATGGAAACGTTTCCGACGTTTCTCTGGAGAGAATAGTTGACTGTGACAACATCTTCTTCGAGAGTTGTGTTGACAATCGAGTGGTATGGAATGCGTACGTATGTCTTGTTCTGCTGTTCGTGGTAGATCAAGAAATCGTGTGGAGAAATAATTGTTTGGCATTCGTTTTCGACTTTTTCGATTTCGTAGAAGCAGGAGAATCTGATAACACCAAAGCCTGGTTGTGTACGTGCAAGACGAATGAATAAACGAGCGGCGTTGTTGGCATCTGGAATGTGGTTCTTCTTGAGGAAGTCGTTGACTTGTTTGTTGAAGGACTTGTCGCTCTTGTAGGCGTATGGTCTGTGCTTCTTTGTCTCTGGTGGGTTGGCGTCGTCTAATTGGACGTCTGGATGGTCGACAACGTAAGCGTAAGCAGTCAACTCAACAGCGACATCTGGTTGGATGTAGATTCTCTTGTTGGATCTGATTTCGTCGAAAGCATCATCGAAAGCAATTAAAATTGAGGATTGAGAAACAAGATCTGCAGCTGAGAAGATGAAGAAGCGGCGCTTGAAGACAAGGGACTTGAATTCAGCGCACTGGTGTGGAAGATCTTGGAATAATGAAAGTGGCACCAAGGATTTCTTGGTCTTGCCATCTTTTGTCTTTGTTTCTTCCTTGAAGAGAGTAAAGTCGGATGGGTTCTCGATGTTTTCGACCTGAGCGATCTTCTTAACGATTGCCTCGACTGTATCTGTGATGGAAATGATGTATTGATTCGTATTGAAAGCTGTGGATTCAACCTTGATCTGGAATTCACTTGGGAAGATGCAGAACTTCATACCAGAGAAGACGGAATAGTCTTCAAGGTATTTGTTGTGATCGAACCAACGCATATCATCATCAGAGAAACAAAGCAAAATAGAGTAATCTTCGTACTTCAAACCGAGAGATTCTGTGGCAGCAGAGACAACCTGCTGGAATGTGTATGATTTGCAGTATGTAACTGGCATCAAAGAGTTTTCTTGGAATCCGTTGTATGTATAGGCCTGAATTGTTTCGGAATCGTTTTCGTGAAGGCCGAGCTGTGTCTGTGTTTCGAATACAGAAGTATCAAATGACTCAACGTTTCTGATTCTGACATCAAGTTCCGTTTCCGCTTCCGGAACCTGACTTGGATCATAAGCTGGCATTTCTTCGTATTGTGGAACACCTTGTGGCAAAATACCGGATTCAAATTGTGGAAGTTCAAAGTTGAAATAAGAAGATTGTTGTTGATAGTTATTTCCTGTTGGTAATGTTGGAATGCCGAGATTTGGAACATTCATTTGTTGTGATGCATAATCGACTTGTGGAACTACCTGTTGTTGGTAGTTTGGAAGTGGACGTGTTTCTGAAGCCCATGTAATAAAAAGATGCATATCGTCAACGAGCCCCTGTTGCTCCAATGTATCTTGAGGATTCAAAATGGCTTCATAACCGTAGCGTGACATGTACCTAACGACATATGTGTTGTTATATTGAATACCATGGTTGAAACATGCTAATTGCAAAAATTGATCCCCCGTGTACTGAGCACTATATGTGCTGTACTTTGGATTAGGATCATCTAAGCCAGCACTCGTGTATATACGAATCACTGACATTTGATATATTTGAATAAAATGTAAATATGTGAAAAATAATTTGCATTTTCTTTATTTTATTTTGAGTATTTGAGCTGAATTGTTTAGTAATTTTGATAATATAAATTGATGAAAAGTGAGGTGATTGATTTCTAGTGTCACGTTTTGGTGAGCCATCAATCGTATTATATTCAATTGTTTCGTTTGTTACATTTTTATTATATGCCTGAAAAAAGAAATTATTGAGTGGAATTTAAAAAATTTGACACACCTGGATGCGGACAAATTATAGTGGATATCCTTAAACTACACAATAAAAAAAGAATGCTCTCCATTGATATTGGAATACAGAATAGCATTAAATAATATTTAAAACTGAATTGAAATTTCAGATTTCTTTTCAGTTTAATCATCACTTGGTGTTTATCTCAAATCCCTAAGAAATGTGACACGAGTACACATGCATTGGCTTTATTGAATCTGAAAGTATCAATATTTACTTGAATTTTTGATCAAATTATTTACTTTCATGTCTACAATGTCTACGTGGAAAGCGTCTCACTATACAGTAATGATGTATGGAGTTCAAATAAATGAGCAATAATCATAATTAATCTCATGTGTATCTCAAGAACTTTAGTTTTGCATTTTTGTTTCTATAACACACAAATAATATCTCTATTAAGTTGGTAGGGCCAAGAGTTTTGTTCTTTAATCCTTATTTTGAGCTTAATTGTTGAAAGTTGGTTTTAAGTTTAAGGATTAAGCCTCCGTAAATGGATGATTTATTGATTCTATACAATGTTGAAGAAACAGTTTCAATATAAGCTAAAATTTTTTATCGGAGAAAAAAATTCAAACAATTTACATACGAATATCATTATTTCGCAGTAGCATTTTTGTTTTTAACAAGGAAAATATTAAAATCTTAGCATACCTCAAAATTAATTCACAGTGCAATCAAATGATTTTGCACCCCATTCAATCTTCATAAAAAACCGTCCATTTGTTTTACAATTTTTTTAAAATTTTTAAATGGGTCCAGCACCAACTATTCCTGTTCATCCATACCTCAATGATATTTATGTTATGATACAAGATGGCGACAATCCTCAGGAGGGTGCTCCAATGCCATCTACTAAATCAACAATGCAATATAATCCAAAGATCCTAAAGGGACCATTTGCAGGTATTTGGTCCGTCTTTACACCCAACTGTGTATGTCCGATACCAAGAGCCGGTCATTTTACTGTCCATGATCCGATTAATAATTTAATGTATATTGGCTATGGTTTAGATGAAATGGATAACTGTTTGAACGATCTTTGGGTATTTGATCTCAAAACATACAAATGGCGCCAAATTCCTCTCACAGGACAAGTTTTATCTCCTCGTGTAGGAGCGCGCGCTCTTCTTTCAGGAAATTATCTCATTATTTTTGGAGGATACTGTAACAAGGTATACTACGCCGACTTACATTCGATTAATGTCCAGACAGGTGAAGTAGCTATGATTGAAACGCAAGGAGAGCAGCCACCAGCACGTTCTACTCCAATCACAACGATGTACAACGGAAGATACTTCATTTGGGGCGGATATAACGGCCAAATGCTCTCTACACTCCACGCATTGGACGTCTCAACAAGAGTTTGGCAGCACTATCCACAAGATATCGTAGGAAGGACAGCTATTCCTGGATGTCAAATTGGCGATAAGTTTTACGCTTACGGTAGCTCTAAAACCGGTGGTGTCATTCGTATTGATCTTACAAACTGCCGCGTCGAGCTTATTCCAACTACAGGCGCTGAGCCACCATCAACAGTCATGGGCGCAGGTATGGCAAGTGTAGAAAACCTTCTCTTCTTCTTCGGCGGAAAATCATCTTCTAAATGGACACTTGTTTACGCGTTTGATGTCACCAAAGACTGGTGGTTCGTCTTCCATGTCATGCCTGATGGCGAAAGTGTCTCGGTTTCCGATGGTTCTGTCTCTGATTTAGGTTTGTTCATGGTTCCAAGAATTAACGCATTTTCTCTTGTCTACAATGAGCCAAAGAGAGAACTTGTCGCAACATTGGGCGATCCTATGAATAATCCACCTCATGTTTTCATTGTTTCTATTGGAGATGCCCTTGCTGTCATACATCAGAGAGATGATATGCTTGATATGTTGAAATTGCAGAGATAAGAAGCGATATGCATACCACAAAAATAATATATTAATATGTATGAATAAAAAAACTCATATTTTGTAGTTTTTTTAATATATATTTAATAAAATTACAAAAACTTTTCAAAACTATATAAGAATTTATTGAAGTATCTAGTTTAAATATAAAAGATCGCAAGGGATTCTATTGATGTTCGAATTACATATTCGCTTGATTTTTCAAATCAATTGTAAGAGCATTAGCCTTTCATCGATGTATTATTTATCGGATGGTAGCAAAAACATATGCAATAAAATTAATTCAACTGTAACAAATATCTAAATCTTTATCAGATTAGAGATGCAATTACTTTTAATAAACATCGTATCTAAAGAAGAGGCATAAATATCGAGGGGGTTTTGCTTGGTGTCTCTAATTCCTTGGTTTTCTATTATAAATTTGAAATTTGAATCTTAATCCATGGGATATTCTTGGATAATATGTATAAACAGCTTTGTTTTGGTTCATACATTGAGAGTAATTAAGTAATAATATTGAGTTCTGTATTTGATGTAAACGAATAAAAAATTTGGAGAGAGGGGAGGTAAAAAAGATGAAATGAAGTTAAAAAATTGATTTAAACTCGTTTAAGAAAAGATTGATAGCATATCCAAGAAAACTAAATTTAGTACTTAAGATCTGAGCCACCAATGAACTCACGAATGCAAGAAATGTGAGGAACGATCTCAGATGAGATTGGGTAGAAGACGTTGAGGAGGTTGAGAAGTCTGCGGGCCTCCTTTGTGATCTCTTCGGACTCCTTAGAGTGTGGATCTTCGCCTTCTTCTGGGACTGTAGCCTCAGCAAGGAGTGTCTTGCCCTGGATGGCAAGGACTGGAAGTTCGTAAACGAGGGATGAGTTGAAGAAGAGTTCTGCGTTGCCCTGGAATGGGAAGATGTTCTTCTCTTCGCCAATTCTGACGGATGTCCATCTCATGATTGTCTTACGTGGTGAATAACCACGGAAGTTGAAGTCACGGACAATACGTCTGATGAGGCGGAGATCTGATGTTGGGAAGCGGTGGTTGAAGTCGATGTTGAGTGGTGTAAGAGCTGAAACGTAGATTGGTGTGACATTGTCTGGGCCAAGGGACTGAAGGAGCTCTGGATTAAGACCGTGGATACCTTCGATGATGAGGAATTCCTTATCATGGAGGGCCATTGGCTTTGTAGCATCATCTGAGCCACGGCCTGACTTGAAGTCGAAGCGGCGTGTTGGAACTGTTTCGCCCTTGAGCATCTTTGTAACGCGCTCACCGAGGAGAGCGACGTTGAGGGCATCAATGCTCTCGAAGTCCTGAAGGCCGTCTTCGCCGTATGGAATATCGCATGTGTTCTTGTAGTAATCATCCATAGAAATGACTGTGGACTTGAATCCATTGACACGGAGCTCGATGGCGAGTCTGAGAGCGAATGTTGTCTTGTTGGATGATGATGGGCCAGCGATTGTGACAACACGCTTCTGATTGAAGTTCTTGTAAAGATGCTTAGCGATCTTAGCGAACTTCTGTGTGTGGAGGCCTTCGCAAACCCACTTGAGGTCATCGATCTGGCGCTTGAAGATGATGGAGTTGAGTTTGGCGACATTCTCGCAGTCGATGAGCTTTGCCCATTCACGGTACTCGCGGAACATGTCGAAGATGGCACGTGGGTCGTTCCACTCCTGGAGTTTCTCTGGGTTGAGGAGCATTGGGAAGCGGAGGATGATACCGTGTTCGAAAGCCTTGATGTCGAAGATCTTCAGTCTCTCCTTATCAGTGGACATTGGCTCGAATGTGTAATCGATGAACTCGCCGCAGATGACGCACTGGATGAGGTCTTCTGGCCATGTCTTGAGGAGACCAAGCTTATCGTAGTAGCCGTGATCCTTGAAGAACTGGGTAAGGTTTTCACGGTCCATACGGCCTAAGGTGATCTTGATATCGGAGTCCAAAAGCTCCTTTAACTCCTTATGAATGGCTTCGGCTTGTTCTGGGGTGATTGGCTTGTACTCGTAATCAACCATGTAGTAGCCATCACCGCAAGAGTGCTCAACCTTTAAAAGGCGGTGGTAGAGCTTGTTGTAGATAGAGCAGACAAGGAATGATAAAGTTGCGTGCTCGCTCTGGAGTTGGGAACGTGTAATTTTACCATCTGTTACACCAACTGATGGAACCTGGAAAAGAAAGTTTAAAGCAACGTCAGATTGACGGCGATCCATAATAAAAATGTTTGGTAACCGATGGGAATTGAGAAGTTATGAAAAAAACGATGAAGTAGGTGATGTGAAATAAGACATGCCAACTTTTGTGAAAAAATATTCATTATATGATAATAGTCGAATTATTACCACTTTGAACAGAGAAAGTCTTGACTGTGAATTTTTATACATTCAATTTTTGTATGAGGGAGATTTTGGATCTAAAAAAATGGAATTTATGGAAAAAGACAAAATGGAAAACATATAATATCGAAAACTGGATCTAATTACTGCTTCCGAAATTCCGAAAATCTCCAAATTTTTCGTGAAAATTAGAATTTCTTAGAAAATTCTATATTTTTTATCATCATTTTTTTATTTTTGAATTTTTTTTGGAAAAAAGCGAATAAAAAACATTGCTTATTTAGGATACTGATCCAATGTGTAACCAAAACTAATTAAGGTTTAATCATTTTTTTGACCAATCATGACTCAAATCGGTAAATGCACCAAAATGTGTCCGCAATCTGAGATAAATGAACACAAATCAGAATTTCTATCCATATTTGAGTGCGACCCAAATGGAAAGTTTGATCCAACGCTCGCGATCAAAAAATATTCCAGAAGTTCAGCAGGTTTTCAAGCAAATTTGAATAATGTTCGTCCAGTAGATGTTCTGTATAAAACTTTACAGCATATAAATTCGAAAATCGTTATACCAAATTTAAAATCTCCTATTGAAACTCAAATTAAAATGTATCATTATGTCAGAGATCGCTTACGAGCTGTAAATCAAGATATTACGATTCAACAAGCACATTCACCCGAAATTACCTGTATTTATGAATATTATATTGCATTCTTCATATGGTCTGGTATCAATTTTAGAAACTTACCGCCATCAGATTTCGATTTTGTACAAAACTTTGATCAAATTTCCGAAGGATTCTTATCATTACTCGAAGAATACAAATTTTATCCTTCAAAGAACCAAGATTTATATTATTCCGCGTATGTAGCATCTTTATTCTGCACTGATCAGTTTCAAGAGAATTTATCTAAATTTAAGATCGAATCACATTTTTACATCGTAAAATCTGTTCGCACTGCATACTTAACCGATAACATCAAACTTTTCCTCAATACAATCAAGCATGCTCCATTTATCATTCTTTACACAGTTATTCTTAGCGATAAACAAATTTATACAAACTGTATTTCATCACTTCGCCTCTCATTTAAGAGCACAAGCTTTAACCCGGACGTATTACTCAACGAATTCGAACTCAGTGAGAACTATGATCAAATTAAAACAGCTTTTAATATCAATCCAAAAGGAGATTATCTTACATTCGATATATCAAAACAAATACAAATAGAACAAACTCCATACTTCATTTTACCATCATCTATTGAAGAATACCATAACAGTCACGAATTTCATCTTGAATTCAGTAAAATCAGCGAAATTGACTTATGACATATATATTATCATGAATTTTAAATTCTTTGTTTGTAATACTGTTCACTAAAATTACCAAATAAAGTGTTTTTTTTAAATAGATTTTGATTTTTTTCTTGGATATCATCGACCATTTGCGGTTTTGATAATGGATAACAAAGGCTTGCCTATCTATCGAAAATTTCTTTTTGATTCACCTTCAATTGGCTACTTTGATAAAAAATTTTACGCAAAAGACCTCAATTTTGCTTCGAATCCACCAGATTACACTTACCTATTACTGATACATGTAAATCTGAGGTGAAATTATAAACTGGATTATAAGCAAATTTTTGGGGTTTCATTCTTTTTTTTTTTCATCAAAAAATCTTATTATGATTCCTTTCATCATTTCCTATGTGATGAAATTGAATCCAGACACAGAATCAAAAATTCTTACTTCTTCATGGCAGGTACCTGTGTTCTTGATTGGTTTTTCACCTTATTGTGGTCATTGCAAAGCTGTATTACCATATTGGGAAAAGTTGAAAGAAAAATACGAAAATGACAAGCATATTTTAATTTCAGAGCTAAATTGTGTTGACTTTCGCGATATGTGCAGGAATAAATACAAAGTTGGATCTTATCCTTCTTTCAAAGTCATAAAAAGAGGCCAGATAGAAGGTGTTCATCCAGCTAATCGTAATCTTGAAGGGTTTGATAAGATAGCAACCGAGCTGAGACAACAAAATATGGATGAAATGTGTAATCAAATTGCTTTTATGCCAAAAGATGTTAGTTATCCTTATTTCATTTATCATACTACAGAAAACATCAAGACAGCATGCAAGTTCATGGAATCTCTAGAGAGAAGAGAATCAATCAAACCATTTCGAAAACAAATTTTTACGGATGCCAACGCGACAAATACATATTTCGAAGCTATTTTAAGTCCAAACACAAGTTTAAACATGTCTGGATTTGTGGAAACATATAATATTGAAAGTTTCGTTGAAGAATACAAATACAAAAATTTCCAACAGATTCCTTGGGTAGTTGCATTCTCAAGGAAGAGACCAATCGCTTTATTAGTTAATTCTACAACACAAGTAGCCCCACAATTTGAGAATTTATCAAATACAAGTCCAAAATATTATTGGATTGCAATAACGAGCAAAGCGTATAATTCGAACTGTCCAATTGGATATAACATCACTGATAATGATCTTCCTGCTATTTGGTTTTCAAATCCAAAGAAGAATAAAGGAAAATTGTTATTAAACGCAACAGTTGAGTCAATTAATGATATATTAGGCAAAGATCCCAAAAATCTACCAGAAATGAAAGCTTTTAAATTTAAAAACGCGTTTGCTCGCTCAAAAATAGTTTTCAATACAATTGATTACGTTATTTTTGCAGTAATTGGCGTTTCTGTTGCAACGATTTTGTTTGCTATCGGATTTATTATATATGAGCTTCGAAATTCGCTGAAGATTGAATAAAATATCTTGTTTGTATTTTTTCCATCAAAATACCAATTTATTTTCATGTAAAAAGAAAGATATCTAGCAAGCTAACAAATATCCTGTCTCGTAAAAGATTAGGAACTGATATTTGTTGAATCCAAAAAAGCTGTACTTTTTACAAGAAAAAATGGAGATGGGGGGAATCGAACCCCCGGCCTCAACTATGCTAAAGTCGCACTCTACCACTGAGCCACACCCCCTGACATTAAAACCTTCAGATATTTTATATAAGTTTAATCGATAAAATATTGAAAATCATGACCAATTCTTTACTGAAATGGTTTTTTGTTGAAATATCATAAGTACATACCATAAAAATGAATTTTCACACTTCGCTGGATTGAATAAATATTTTTGGCTGAATGAATTCATATATAAAATTTTTATCTCAAATTTTCAATTCTCTTAGAGATTTGATTACTCTCTTCATTTTTCGCCAAACATTATCTTATGAAGTGGCTATGGAACAATACAACACGCGTGGGATTCGGTCAACATTGCGTTGAAGAGCACCTCAAGGATTTTGTTAAACCAAAATCTCGTGTTTTAGTAACATTCGGTGGCACTTCCATCGATAAGAATGGTGCTCGTGCAGATGTTACTAAGGCTCTTGCAGATTTACAATGTGAAACAAAATGGGAAGGAGGAATTCCACCAAATCCAGAATACGATCGACTCATTGAAATCATGAAGGTTGCCAAGGAATTCAAACCAGATTTACTTCTTGCAGTTGGTGGTGGTTCTGTTCTCGATGGTACAAAGTTCATCTCTCTTGCAATGCATCTAGATGATTCCGTTGATCCATGGGATATTTACATTAAAAACGTCCGACCAGCCACCACAACACCAGTTGGTGCTATTATGACCATTCCTGCTACAGGATCTGAATGGAATGCCGGTGCCGTTGTTTCAAGAAGAAGCACACAAGAAAAACATGGTGGATTACTTGCTTATCCATACTTCTCTCTCCTTGATCCACTCTACACAATGACTCTTCCAATCAGACAGCTTAGAAACGGCCTCTATGATGCTATGGCACATTGCATGGACCAAGTTCTTACACCAGATGTAGTCCCAATGCAAGACAATTTCTTCTACTCAGTCATGAGAGAACTTGTTGATATCTCAGAGCCACTCCTCTCGAAGGATCATTCAACACTCGAAATCCACGAGAGACTCATCTGTGCTTGCAGCTTTGCTCTCAACTTCATGTTCTCACTTGGAAAGACTGTTTGCTGAGGCATTCACGGAATTGCTCACATGCTTACAGTTAAGTGGGGAATTGATCACGGCTCAACATTAGCTATCATTGCTCCTTATCTCTTAGAAGAATTCATCGATGAACGCCAATACACTCTTGCACGCGCAGCCGAACGTGTTTTCGATGTTCGTGAAGGCACAGACGCTGAAAAGGCTAAAACTTTCATTGCTAAACTTCGTGAATGGACAGTCAAGATTGGCCAATTCACGAAAGTTGCTGATCAAGAAGGCGCTGTTTTAGCCCCAGGTGATGTTGATGTTGTCACGGATATGGTCATGAAGTCTGAAGGTAAACCATTTGGCTATCATGATTCAATTACTCGTGAACATGTTCACCATATCCTTGAAGGTGCTTTCAATCAACAATAAAGTATTATTTCTATTCTATTTTCCATATATTTATGACAAGTTTATTTGATGCACTTGCCCTTGCACATGACTGCCTTTTAGATATCTGATCAATGCAGGCCAAATTTAAATCTTGAAAACCTATTGAAGTCATATAATTTTTGAAATTTGGGTTATGATATGAATATTTTGAGCCATTGAGCATTAAATAATTGTCTAATGATATTCAACCTAAGTTAGTATTTGATTATTTAACCTTCATTGTATCTTTTTTTATATTGTATGCATTTTAAGGTTGATATCGATGATCCTGAACAAGGAATTGATAGTCTAAAACTATCAACTGCGCTTGAAGATGAACGAAAAGCCTGCCAAGTGAAAATAATTAATGCAATCAACAAAGCTTACGAAAAATTTGATGAAATTATTTTATTTCACGGATATTTAAATCTTCCTAAATACATCAACTTCCTTGTTCAAGTAAGTGAATCTGAATTTGGACAAGAATACCTCAGGAATAATATAAATGTTGAACAAATTAAATCTTTAGTAGATATATATAACGAGAAACAAACATACGATGTTATGTATTCAATAGTACACCTATTTGTTAACATATCTTACCTATCTGAAGATGCAACAAAATATTTTATAGAAAATGGAGTGCACAACACACTTATTTCAATGAATATACCAAAGGAAATCGAATACTACAAAGACTACTTCCGTTTAATTTATAATTTAACATCAGTTGAGCCTGAAATATACGAAGAACAACAAGTCATTATATTATTGAAACAATTAGTAAGAGCAGATGCAATTCGTAAGCAATTTGGACTGAAATCACTTACAAATATTTTCAGACAAAAGATTTTTTCAAATTCAACAGTGAATATCTCAGTTTTAGACTTATTACATAAGATTTTACTATCAAACGATGGAACTGTTAGAGAAACAGTTGCTTGGTTCGTGCATTTCCAGCTAGAAGGTAATGAAGCTCGTTTCTTTTTATCAGATATTTGCCGCTCTCAAATTATGAATGAATTTGTTGATTCTCTATTCAAATGTGATAATTCTGTTTTAGTTAATATCATTTTAAGTATATTTTCTCGTATTGTTATATTTAATATTGGCGAATATGTCGAAAAACTGTTTAATTCTGATGTTCTCGAAGCAGCTCTTAATCTTGTGACACATGAGAATGTTGGAGAATACGCTCTGTGTCTTGTCAATAACTTCATGGCCGCAGATAACAATTATCTTGAATATTGTTTGTCACAAAATTTCCATGCGAATTCTCTTGATGTTTTTGACAATGGAAATGTACGTGTGAAGCAGGAATGCATCAGAGCATGGCTAATAATTAATGATTTGGGCAATTCTTTGCAAGCTAACACAGTTTTGAATGAATTTGTCATTGAAAAAATAATTGACTTCCTTTCATCTGATTCTGAAGAAGATTTCCTTGTTTATGGACTTTCTTTACTCATTAAATTATGTGATAAAGAGCCAAAGTTCGCAGAAATGTTTGATTTATCAGATTTTGATAATATTCAGGACCAGGAATCAGAAAAAATACAAGAGTTATATCAAGTTATTGTAGATAGAATGTCACCTGAAGAATAATCAAATAATTAAGCTACTATTAAGAATTTCGAATGTCATATCGTATTCGTTTTAATATTTTAGTTTCCCTACGTCAAAATATAATAAGCACTACTAGTATATGCTTGCCGTTCATTATTTAATGAAGTATTAGCATTATTTTTTATTCTCAAAATTTGACTAGTAGTTCAAAGTCTCTGCTGCTATATTTTAATTGTTTGTATGAATAAATATTGATTTAAATAAGTTTTATGGATAATGCCTCCGGTTTCTGAAAATTTCAATATTTGTCTTCTCTTTTCACTATTGTAATCATTTCTTGAAACTTTCATACTTAGTAGATCGTTTTCTAATTGGAGAATTATTCCATTTTTTCAATGAGTTTCAGAGGATTAAATGAAGTTACTGGAATAAGTTTAGGAATGAATAGAAAACCTACACAGGATATTTCTGTTTCATTAGGATGTGATGATTTAGTTACAATTTTCAAAATAAAACGAGCATTTTTTTCTTCAAATATTACAATCAAATTTTTTCATTATGTTATAGGCATGGATCAATCATCAGTTGGCAGTTTTCCAGTATATTTCAATGAATTGATGAGTAAACTCGAAAAAAAGAGTTGGCCACCAACGGCTACTAATTATGATATCGAAAAAGGCTCAATAACTATATACAATTCATTCACTAACAATGACATTACTATTGAAATCGAACAAAAAGGAAATTGCAAAGTTTATTCTTCTCGAGATCCAAAACACCCGTTTACTATTGAAAAAGAGTTTGCGAAACAGTTACAGTTAAGTAGTGCACTAAGGTACTTTAAAGGATACTCATTATTATCGCATTATTTATTCGATACTTCATTTTGGAATGATATTTCAGTGTACGTTCTTCAAGAAATTCGATTGACATACGATGATTTCGTATATATAGCCAATACACATACTCTTGTGAATGAATTAGAGCTTGCTATCGCTAGAGGATTAATTCAAAGTTTATCCCTTGACCAAATCATTACATTTACAGAACAATTCGATTATAAACTACCAAGACTTATGGAAAACTTGCTCAAAATCCTCCATTCTCATGAAAAAGTCATGAAAAAATTTGAAAATGTGATTGTCAAACACTTATCTCGTTACGCTGATGACATAGAAGCCACATATTACTATGTGAAATACCTTATCAAGGCATGCAATACGAAATCCGCTGAGCAATTCATGCCATTAATGTATTCAACGTTTGGACTTCATCCTTTGAGTGCCATTGCATGCGCATTGTATAGTATTGCCAAGGAGAAGACACAGGATGCACTTGCCTTCCTCAATCTCGCAGGATATTGCAAGAATTGGCCGCAAAAACCGATGATGAAAACAGAATACGAATTCACAAAACCGAATGAGAGTTTACCGTTTTCGGTTACAGATAATGAAGTATCGTTTTACAGATCACCTCTGTCAGGGCCATTCTATGAATACTTCGACGCTTTGAATGTTTTATGTTCAAATTGCGGAATTAAGTATTTCTCAAACTCAATCAAGGATTTTACGAACGAAAAGTATGAAAAATCAAAGGAAATGGTCAGTATATACTATCCTGAGTACCATTTCGAGAAAACTTCCTTTTGTGAAGAATGTGAATTATTTGATCCCGGAATTTCTGGGGCTCCTTCAATGCAAGAGTTGTCAGGAGCATCTATAACAAATCTGTTTAGTGAATACTCTAAATATGTGATCAAATGCTTCCAATACAGAAATAGTCTCATTTCTTCGACAAGTCCTCACAGATTTAGCTCAAAGGACTTGAAACTTGCTGTACAATTAGGTGATCCCCAACTTTATAAAGCTATTTTCAGTGATTTGACAAAATTACAAATTTCTTCCACCGACAAACTCCTAATGTTCAAAGCCCTTGAACTCGGAATTGATAGAAATTGGAATGAAGTCATCAATTTGAAGACTTATTCCAATACTCAGCACGAGAAAAACGTAATTGACCAATTGACTCCATTTTTCAGCGGCTTGAAGAATGTCTGCTTATGCTAGTTTTTGTTTTATTATTTTTCTTGTTTGTAAATAATACTTTATATTACATATTGATTTCATTTTACTTTTTATACACAAACACATTCCAAAAACAATAAACTATTCATACATACATGATTTATATTAACAAACAAAGACAAATATAAAAAGATATTATTTTCTACGATTCTTCTTTTGCTTTGAAGCATGGATATTACTTAATTCATCATTCTTTTGAGCTATTTCTGCCTCAAGTTGGGCTTTGCGCTTATTTAGATCTTCTCTTTGAGCTTTAAATTGCGCCATTCTTTTAAGATATGCTCTTCGCTCACGTTCTCTTTGTGCTTCCAACTCTTGTTCTTTTTCCTTTAAGGCTTGAAGCAAATTAGGATCTGATGGATCTTGGTTAGCAAATTCTGAAATATCATGAGCTTGATGCTTTGAGTCTAAGATCAATCCTTTACGTTTTTCTTCAAGAACTTTTATCTCATTTTGAGCCTGTTGCAGTTCTAATCGTAGTTTGAGAATGGTTTGCTGATCATCCATAAAATCTGCAGCCGTTGCATGCGTTTGCTGTATTAATTTTTCTTGTTTCTTTGCACTTTCAATGAGGTTTGCATTTTCAATTTCTAATTCTGCGAGTTGTTTCTTTTTGATTTGAATTCTATCTCTTAATTTGCGCGCGTCATATTTCTTCTGTGTAGCAATTGCATTTGAGTCACAGCAGCTCTCAATAAGTGAGAGTTTTCCTAACATCATTGCTGCAATTGCTTCCAAATCATTTGTTTGTGTCAAATCGACTTCTTCTATACCTTCATTCGGTATATTCGCATCGCTAATAATGGCATCAAATAAGGCGTTCATTGACATTATGTTTTGTCGAACATCCTCATCTGTTTCCATTGTTTTTTATAAAAAATTTTATTTACTAACGAATGGAATCAAAGGGGAAAAACTCGAAAGCAAAAGTTACAAAACCACTTCAAGATTGTGATTTGGACTTGAGCATGAAGATGATTTCTTCCTTTGAGGATGTCGTTATTCAAAGAAAAATAAAATTATTAGATTTATCTTGGAATAGATTACACAATTTTGAAAATTTTAGTCCAAGTTCAAATTTAGAAACGCTTATTGTCGATGGAAATCCTATATTTTCATTTAGAAACTTTCCCAAGAGTAGTCAAATAAAACATTTTTCAGCAATTAACACACCAATTTCAATCTTACCACATTTTCGAGAAATATGCTTACTGGTTATTGGATTACAACTCGAGACTATTAACGAAATCGAAGTCACAGATGATGATAGAATCGTTATTTCCGAGCATGAACTATCTAAGCGCTTTCCTAAGTCAGAAATTACAAATATATCACAATCAATTGCAGATATTTATAGAAAAGGAGAGATTGAACAAATTTATTCATTAGAAGACTTAAAATCGCGTCAAGAACAAAAATATCCAATTCCAACATCACTGCTTATTACAAAACTTGCTTCAATCGCTAATCTTAAAGATAATGAAATTGATTATTTTTATCAACTCGCGTTCGATGAACAGTTAAGTTTGAATGACATGCTTAACATCCAACAGTCATTAATAAACGAATTTAAGTCTTCAAATGTAACTATAGTTAAAGAAGTTCTAAAAAATGAAAAAAGCATAAAACAAAAAAGTCGATCTCCTAAATACACAGACAAGAATCCGCATACAGCAGATGAGATATTGAATTTAATTAAATCATATGTCGGTGAAGAAGATAATAGCGATTTAGATGAAATATTAGATAAACTCAGAGAAAAGTTTACATCAAAAGAAGATCAATAACATGCATAATTTTTGTTTGTTTGAAAATAAATAGAGTAATTTGTTTTGTTTGTAAAAATATAAGCATTTCATAATATAAAACGAAAGATAATATTTATAAAAACATACAAACAAACAATAATATCATGATTAATCAACAAAAACTGGTTCGGAAAGTCTCGCTGGCATTGGTGATTTCTCAACACCAAGTGAATCTTCCATTTGCTGCTTGTAAATTGCTATCTTGATCTGAAATTCAATGACTGCTTTCTTCACGTCAGCGACATCATAGTTCTTCATCATTTTCTCAAAGATAGAAAGTTTTCCTAATAATTGATCAAGGAAATTTGCTTCGCACCAATAGAACATCAATAATTCCAATATCTTGGAAGCGAAAGCAACTCTTTCATCATCAAATCCGCGTGTTGAAATATGTTCCCATCTTTCACCAACTGTCTTAACTCCTTTCATTACTTTTGCTGCACATTCATTGTAAGACTTGAGATGATTTTGGTTATTTAAATAAACATTTCTCATGTCTTCTCTTGTATCCAAGAAAATATTGTTAACATTGGCCAATTTCTCTTTGAGAGAGTTGATGTCTTCAAGTGCTGGGCTGTTGTTCTTTTGGCTCAATGCTTTGATTTCTGTTCCTAATTTAATGAGTTCCTTTAATCCTCTGGAAACTTCACACTTTGTACCGTAAAATGAAGCAATACTTTCATAAGCTTCATCAAGAGGAATGTCTTTCTTTGCTAATTCCTCTGCAAACTCAAGTTTCCTCATTAATTTCTTATATTCGACATGGTACTTCTTGCCAAGCTGCTGTGGATCTTCTGTTTGCTTGGAATTGTCTAATAATTGGTTTGATAATTTGATTTCTTTGTTCAGGATCTCAATGGAGTAAACAAGGTGCATTCCAAATGATGCACAGAAGCCTCCCATGTTGAATTCAAGAGATTCAATCAATCTTGTGTTCTTGTTGTAGTACTTGAGTTTGAGAGTATTAAGATCAAAGTGAATTTCAGTAAGATTGGCGAAAAGAATCTTTCCTGCCATCTTTTCACCTTGCTCATCATAGAATGTAAGACCGTAAGGATCAATTGTGGCTGCTTTCTTTGCTGGAAGAATTGGATACTTTGTAATGCCAAAGTTGTGTAATTTGCGGGCAATCTTAACAAAGCTCTTTAATACAGAGAAGAGATCTTTGTTCTTGACAGTTTTGGCTGCTTCAAGAACATCGGTATTGAGCTGATAAGAGAAATGGTATCTCTTTGGAATATGGTTGTTAAGATCGAATGTGCCTAACTCAAAGTTCTCACTATCTGTTGCATAAGCATCGTAGACAGCTAAGAGGATTAAGTCACTTTATGGAATGTCAAGTTCTTCGTGTTCAAAGATGTAGCTTCTGCAATCGGAATACATCAACCAAGCAGAATCAACGTTTGTCATAAGATGTGGTGGGAAAATCCAAAGGTATCTTTTGAGGACAAGACGATCAAATGCAAGTGTGCAGTTGAATAGAGGCTTTCTTGGGTCAAGAGGTCTTGGGTTTTCGGGATCTTCAAGGGAGAAAAGGGTGTAGTAGTCTTTTAAGGAAGCAACTTCCTTATCGAAAAACTTACCGACAATTTTTGATATTTTTGAGGTAATGTCAATTGTTAATTCAATCTCTGCCTTTGGTGCAACAATTTTAGAGTTAATGTAGCGATCTTGTAATTGAATCTTCTTGGATTTTATATCGAAGTTTTTCAATTGGCCATCCTTTGGCATAAATGAGATAGAGTTGTCCTTTACATTAATAAATATTGGAATTCTGTTTTGGTTATGCTCTAGGTTCATTGCTTCTTCTGCAATGCTGATGATTTCTTGTTCACAGGCGTCTTCAGGATATGATATTTCCATTCCGCCCTGTCCATTGAGTCTCATTTGGGTGTAAATGGAATAGTATTTAATTGGTTTTGATGGATCAATAAGTCTTGATTGCATTTAGATAATTGATTTTGAAAAGTCTTGATTTTAAAATTTTCAATTTTGATTGATTTTAACAATTCTAAACGATCACATAATTTTATTTGTTTGTTGGGATTGTCATTCAGTGTACATAAAAATTTAAAAATCCGTAAAAATGTTTTTTATGAGAGGTAGACCATTATCCAATTGAAAACTACTTTCTTTCAATTTAACTTTTAGCATATTTTTATTTAACACATTTATCTAATTCCAAATAAACGAGGACCAACTTTCAATTCAAAATATTCAATTTATCCTAATTGAGAGGTAATTTAGTCATCTTGGAATCGTAGATTTCTTTTTTATATTTTATTATTCTATAAGTTTGTGGGATTATACTTTGTCGGTATTTCAATGTTCGCGAATTACTCTGTAAAAAAACATTGATTGAAACGCCAATCAAATCATTTATTTTCTCGATATATTGAAAAATAACATTGTACACTACATACCGGATCTAAATGTCGAAATTTATTCATTCTGTTGATTGGATTTCAAAACATTTTTTGACAATCAACGAGTAACAGGTAAATAACTGGTTTTGAACCTGCAGCTACATAGATGCTTTTAAAATTTTTATTAACCAGAAATAATTATTTTCAGCAATTAATATTTTATTCATCAAACAGGCCAATCATGTGGAAATATATTTCATTTCGAGAATGCAACTCTATTTCCCTCCTCCTTTTTATATAATTAGAAACCAATTATCAAATATCTCGTATTTCAAAATATTTTCATATCAATATCGAGGATAATATATCATAAATGAATTATTTCTGTCTTTTAAAGACATTAGGACATGTTAATATATAGACTCGCACACAGACTTTCGTATTGATTTTGACATATATTTAGTTAAGGAAAATATCTAGGGGGATTGCATGTTAATCAGGATAAAATATACAAACGAGGAGGTTTTATTGAGTTAAAACAATAATAAATTTTGAACCAAAATATGTTTTGCATTTAATCAATACAGCTTATTTGATTGTTCTTTTTGTGTATAGAATTTAACATATCACACATAGATGCTTTCAGAGAAAGATACTATGCAAATCCAGTAGTATTAGAGATCATATACCTTGATGATATTGATGTTCAAGTTCTAAAAGTAAAATAAAAGAATCTCAACAGCGGATGCCAGTTATAACTCTAAGATTTTTGTTAAAATTTCATCTTTTCTAGATTTTTATAATATCATTCCATCGATAATTACAATAGTTAATGCGTTTTTCTTCTAAAGATGAAATATTGTAATTTCTAAAGTTTGAACAAAATCTCATCCGTTGGGCGTAAGATATTCCAGTTTTATTTTATTCCAATGTACAACCAGGTGAGGAATCTATATCTAGCTCAGCGTCTATTATCGATTTTATACTTTTTTTCGTGGATCGGCGGTTTGTGTCATTTTTCATCAATGAGTGGAAACTTCAAGTTCATTGTTATCGGCTCAAGTGGTGTTGGTAAGACAGCTATCTTAAAGCGTCTTGTTGACGACATCTTCACAGGCGAATCACAGTCAACCATCGGCGTAGAATTTATCGCTACAACAATCGAGGTTGATGGACAACCAGTCAAGCTTCAGATTTGGGATACCGCTGGTCAGGAACGCTTCAGATCAATTGCCAAGGCATATTTCCGCAGCGCTGTCGGCGTTCTCCTTGTTTTCGACCTCACAGATAGAAAGTCATTCGAAGACCTTAACCAATGGCTCAATGACGTTCACTCTCTTTGCGATCCAAACGCTGTTGTCACATTAATCGGCAACAAGTCCGATCTCCACACATCCCGTGCTATCACACAGTCAGAGGCTGAAGCATTTGCTCAAATGCACCAACTTACATATCTCGAAACATCAGCTCTTGGTGGCGATAATGTTCAAGAGGCCTTCCAGAGGACAGCTGCTTCTGTCTATCGCAATAACTCTAATCGTAAGGATGACCATAATAAGGCCGTCAAGCCAAACCTTGCTGATGAAAAGAAGAAATCATCCTGCTGTTAAAACCGCGATTTTTTTGAAAAATAAAATCAATAAACTTTCCTGAAATTATTTACGATATCTATGATAAAATACCTTAACTTATTAAAACACTCTTTCAAAATAACCAATTAGTTTAAAATCTTCCGATCATATTTTTTATATTTCTTTTTTTTATTCAAGACATCATATTAATGAGTTTATTTCCTTCATTAATTTGAGCTACTGGTATTACACAATAGCAAAATGTCCAGAATTATGGGCAAATTTAAATAATATTTTGATAACTTATAAATTCGAGATGTAACATACTTTAAAAAGTGAGGTTCTTCCCAAAACATGAATTATCCAAATATAAAATTTTCAAAGAATTTTATCAACCAAAAAAAGATTTAGAATTGCAATGTATATCGAATAAATTTGTACCATGATTTAGTCAGCCTGGAATGATTTGACAAGCTCCTTCCAAATGTTATCAGAGCGGTTCATTGGCCATTCTACATTGAATTCAACATATAAGTTGCCCTTTCCGCTGATTGTATTGTGAAGGTCATCCCAAATTGGGATACCTTCGTTTGGAATGCAAATCTTATAACCTGGAGAAGCAATATCTGTCAAATGCATTGGAAGAATGCGACCATCCATAAGCATAACCTTGAAATCTGTACCTACAAGGGCATCAACAAGGGTAATATTCTGTACGTAAACGAGATCGTGACCAAATCTCTTATATAATTGATGTGGTTGTGTTGTGATTGTAACAATAGCATCAGCTGGTTCAGAATTCTTCTGATCAGCATGTCCTAACTTTGGAAATACAATGCGTGTTCCGTCAATCATACCTGGGTGAATTCTGCAGGCTAATTGAACTTCTTCTGTCTTTCCGTCAGCAATACGACGAACACCTGTAGCCATTCTTGTATGTCCAAAGACAAAGTCTTGGAGTGGAACAGCTAATTCGAGTTCCAAATTCTCGTTTGGAATTGGTTGTTCTGGCTTTGTAAGACGAGCGAATTCAGTTGCGTTATGAGAAGGAAGAAGGTAATCGTATGGATTGGATGAACCAAAGAAGTTGAAGAAAACTTTCTGTGGATCAGATGGTTTCCAGCTGATATCTTCAAGACCTTTGTATCCGAACTGGTCATAAGCAGCACGGAGCTTTGGATCACTTAAGATTTCGTAGGCTTCACTATATTCTGCAAATAAACGTGGAGCTTCATCTGCATCACTGTGATCTGGATGATACTTGATTGCATATTTACGATACCCAGCATTAATTTCAGCACGGGTAGCGTTTGGGTTGAGCCCAAGAAGTGTGTATGGATTCATCTAAAATAACGGTTGTTTCTACTAACGTATTATTTCTCTATTTTTAGTTTGAAAACCAATACTCATGCTTATTATATCTATTCAAAACGTTTTATCATCGAAAATTCGAATTTTGAATATAATTTTCATTTCAAATTTTATCATCTTTAGATTTCGTCTTAGACATATATGTGTTTGTACTCTATAATCATTTAAGAAGCACTATCTAACACATTCATTATCATTTTTCTTGGAGGGTCAATGAAACCATCTTGGAATCTAGGGACATCATCAAAATTTTCCTGGTCTACTGAAGAAAAATCACCCGATGATCAATATTGGATTGAACTTAATGCACTTCTTAATACTCTTCAAACAAATTTAGAAGAGAAAGTTAATCCTCTTGATACAATTATAAAAATTCACGAATCACTAAAGTCTAATACAAATATCCTTCCAAAAATATCTACAAATATACAAAATAACAATACTTTAGATGTATTAATCACTGCTTTTGAAAATTTTTCTGACGAAGAGATCAAAACTCGTTCATTGAAATCAATAACATTAATACTTAACTGCTGCCAAGGTACTGCAGAATTGTTCGTTACGAAATGCAATGTATTAGAATTATTAATTCCTTACTTTGATATTTCATCGCCATTGTTTCCTCCTGCATGCGTTGCAATGCAAAATATCTTAATGGTTCCTGATTTTATCCAACAAAAAATGACCCCTGAAATTTTCAATGTTTTTTGGAATGATATCCAAGTAATATCAAAGAACTCTCATCAATTATTAGAAAATGACATACTTGCAAAAGCTTCGTGCATATTACTTCAAATTTTCAATCTTTGTGTGCAAAATTTACCAAATGAAATTGTAATCGAGCAAGCAAAGAATTATATACCAATTATATTGAATTTTATGACTGATAATGTCTTCCAGCTCTTTCGTCCATGCTTATTACTCATCAGAAAAATACAATCAAAAATTAATTTCAAAATTATAGAAGAATATGAATTAAATGACTTGTTGTTCTCAATTCTACTCAATCCAAATTTATATAGTGTCTATGATATAGTAATTAACCTTATGATTGCTGATTTTCCGTTCAAAATTGATTTCGAAAAAGTTCCAATTGAAAGATTGATTGAAATACTTCAAGGAAACGAAAAACCAGATGAGATTTCCAGAGAAAAACAAGATTCCATTTCATTTTTAATTGTTTTGTTGTTCCAAACATTTTTCTCTGAATCAAATTCTTATCCATTAATTATTACATCCCCTGACGTCATCAAAATCATTATAGAGTTCGCACAGAATACAAATGCAAAGTACTGCGTTGGCTGCACAGAATTCTTCCTCAGTATTCTTTCAAAAATTTCTGCAGAAGATATCATTAATTATTTAGAAGATTTCCCTGAAATTTCAGAATTAATAGTAAATTGCTTGGAATATGATAATCCTGACGCTCAGAAACTAATCCAATACGTTTATACGTTCTTAAAACATATAACTGATATGGGAGCAACAGATCATGAAACAATTGCAGATTTAATTGCTCAAATGCAGGATCCAATATCAGAATTGTGCGATAGCGAAGAAGGAAAGACCAGGGCTTATGCTGCAACAGTTTTGAAATATTATTATCCAGATGTGTTTGATTCAAAGTACATATAAGAGGAAATTTATATACAAAATACCAAAGCATAGTAATTGCTTTCATAATATATCTTGATAACCAATTTATTTTTATTTTTTTTTGTTAGTTCATAAACGAATTGTTTTTATATTACTATAAGAAACTATTGAAGTTTTTACTCAAAATGATCAATGGGATCCAATGAATTGTAAATGATCTCATATAATTTTTTTTTTAATTTGATGAAAGGACAAAATAGTGCTGACAATTATTTTACTGTGTAAAAGTAAACTCACTTTCAACTGCGAAATGATCAGATAAGAAACCGTATGGTTGGTTTTGAACTCTCATTTCATTAACTTTTGATTTGTACTCAACTTTGAGTGGAGATTGTTCTTTTTCGAATAAGAAAATGTAGTCAATTGACTGAACAGTCTTCTGGAAATAAGGTTCAGTTAATGTGACATCTTCCATGTTTCCAAATGTGATTGGATGCTCGCCATAGTCCTTAAGGAGGGTATCAACTGATTCGTAGTTTGGAATTGTGAAATGCTTGAGGAGATTTAAGTATTCATCTCCGAAACGGGCATTGACGTTTAAGTCGCCAACAACAATGGCCGGATAACCATCTGTAACCTTTTGAGCCATTAATGCACTTAATTCATCAAATTGGGACTGGCGAACTTTCACATCAACATCAGTTGGATCTTTTCCGTATTGGTAAGAGGCTTGAAGATGTGTACTGAACAAATGGACATGGTTCTTCTCATCAAGTTGGATTTTAGCATAAAGTGCTCCTTTGGCAGCAAAAGCATCAAATCCGCAGCCTGCTGTGTATCTGACGCAGTCTGATTCGAGTATTGGGAATTTGGATATAATTACAAGACCACTATCGATAACTTGATGATTCAAGAGAGGTGGAAGCTTTGATGTTAAAACGTATTTGAAACCGAGAGCATTAGCAGCTTCTATAAAGTTCTTAGAAATATCAGATCCGAATTGAAAACCTTCTTGAAGACAAACAACATCGTATTCGGAAATTCTTTCTAATAAAATTTTAGATCTATCTCTCATATATTCTTCTTTGAAAAGATGGAGTAATTGTGGTCTCCAAAATGCATTGAAATCTAATATTTTGAGCTTCTTTGTTTGGAAATCGGCCTGACGTCCATCAGCGATTTGTTTGTATTGCTTTGCAGTTTTTGAAAGAACTCTCTTTAGAACGCACATGAGAGTTCCAAGTACTCCAATTGGAACTCCGACGCCAAAAGTAAGGATAGACTTGAAATTCATCAGTTTGATTGGGTTTCAATGGGCTCCTTCAATTCGTTCGAATTCTTCTCAAAAAATAACTTTAAATCGAACATGTCTGTCATTTAGTTTGTAATAAATAATTCGCAAAATTAGCCCCTTTGACGATAATTTTATTGTTGAATGTTTACATAATTATTGGCGCGTAGCGCCGACATAATTAATGAAAAGCAAATCTTCAAGTCCAAATAGAAAATCACGTCCAAAATCAATTTTAAGTCCTAGTAAACAAGCCAACAAGCCTAATGATCAATACAATGGCAATGAATCAACAGAATTAGATCCTAACGAGCTTGAAGTTAGCGAAAAAACACAACCAATTCAGTTTAACAATGATACAACAAAGAAATATAAGAAACCAAGAAAATTGGCAACATCATATCAAGGAAAACAAAGTAATAAAATTGATCAACCAAATTTACAAGAGAATTTCGCGCAAACTAATCCATCATCATTTCTTGAATCACTAACTGATTCAACTGAAATACTTTCAGATATTGAAGATCCTTTCTCTCCTTTGAAACTTGTTCAATGCACACAAACAGAATCATCTCTAACTCATGCACCACTTTCAATCGAAACAAATCTATTTGGAGAGCGAATTGATCCAACATATAATAGAAAATTCACAATCAATAAAGTTTCAAATTATTTTGTGCAGCCTAGAGCATCTAAAGAAAATGAAACTCAATTTGAAGAACCATTTAAGGGATACTACATCCGTAGCGTAGAAATACCACCATTTGATTCTAAAGAACAAATCGATTATTACGATTACAATAAAATGAATACAGCTATTAGAAATGAAAGAAAACTTGTAGAAATATCATAATTTTAATATCGTTTTCATTAAATTCCGACAAAAACAAGCTGTTATTCGCTCGAAATAGAAATTATTATCCTCTAAATGCCGCGATATAAGATTTGATATTTCAATTACTATCTGCAACACATGAAATATCAAAGATTCTATAATTCAACAATTTACTCTAGCTTTTGATTATGAGGAGACTCATGATACCATTAATATTTTCTTACATGAACATCTTTCTGCAAAATACATTGATGCTGAAAAATATTTAGCTGCATCAGGAATACTTACATAATACAGCGAACTTCCAGTTTCTCCACTTCCATTTGGATTCTGAATTGGTGAATATCTCAGTCATTGATCAGCACAAGATCATTTATGACTGCCATTTTGAAAGTGAAAAAGTAATTTTAACAAAGTTCGCAGTCGAGAACAACTTCGAAAATGAAGTAATTTACTTTGAATCATTGACTGGAGATAACCAAATTTGTCAGTTAAACTGAAGATTTCTTCGGTCAGGTTTTTTCGTGTTAAACTCTTGAAGAACTGTTCCATCGTTCAGTTCTACATTGAAGAGTCGACAAATCAGACATTATCTGCTGGTTTTGTTTGAATAGGAAGAATTTCAAAGAAGACTAAAAAAAGGATAATTTATCATTACAGAGCAAAGTTTCATATAAGTCACAGAAAAATCAAGTTCGGGTTATTCATACGTTCCTAGAGAAAAAGTTAGAGTTTTCAAAATAGGAATATCTCACACGAACTTTTTATCTGCTATTTAAACATTGTTTGAATAAATATTAGCATATAATAATAATTGATGATTTTTTGAAACTTTCCTTTTTAAAACCAATCTGAGATAGCAATACAACCATGGTATACATTAGAAATGTTTCTCGTATTTTGCACAGCACATTTTCAAGTGCATATTTTATAAAACCACTGAAGTAGCAATTTGAATTGAGACTCTGAGTGATAAGAAAATATAAGTTATATCTCATGAAGCTCAACAAAATTGAAGATTTTTTTCTCTCATGCAATTTCCATGATTTAAAAGAGAGAAAACGTCAATTTGGAGCATGAGTATCTCAAATAATTATAAGTATAAAGTAGTTCTTCACATCCAACCGACTGGCTCTGATTTTTTTTATAAAAAAGTGGTAAATTACATGATTTTTAAGGGTCCACTGTAAGGCCAAATAAGGTCTATCGTCGTCCCAAAAATATTGCTCGAGATGGTGTTTTACTAAGGCCCAAAACTTAAAAAAACACAAAAAATTTAACTTTACTATTTTGAGATCCTTATCAGATGTGCAACAATTTGATGCAGTATCGCAGTTCAAATCTGATTTTTTAATGTAGATGTACTCTAACATCCTTTAAAAAATGCAAAATGATATTAATTAAGCTTTTCATTTCTGTATCATACACGAAACAAAATCGTTCATTATACTAAAATTTATCAAAGTTTGATTAATGAAAAAATAATATCTAAATTTTTACATTGAATCGGCTATTGATATGGTTAATATTAAATCTTGTAAAAATTGGCATTATCCAGAATAATACCCACTAAAATACACAATTTTTTTTAAAAAATTTTATCAATTGTTATGGTATATCTTTATGATAATGAATAAAATGCTTATTTTTCATAAGTAAATACATAATTTATGCTTAAACACAAAAAATAACACGAAAATTTTTGGCCAACATATCTAAACTAAGGATAATGGTTTGAATATATAAACAATAATACTTTGTCCAGGGAATTAAATTTGTGCTATCCAATTGTCAATTCTTTGAATTTTTTTTAAATGCAAGATATCCCGGCATTAGCCTCAATAAATATATATATTATGCATCATAATATTAGTTTGTAATGGCATTAAAGCGAAATTCCTAATTTCTTCTCAATTAAATTCCTTGAAAAACATTGGAATTAATGATTGGAAATAGGTCAAAAAAATTCCTAATATAAAACTTATACTTAAGATAAAATTAAAATTCGAAAATATCTATTTTTCAAAACACGCATCCAAAAGCGAAAAAATTCGAAAAAATCATGTTCTTATAAAACTCACTGATTTTGCAATTTTTATGAGATTTGAAGTGATAGAATATATTACCATCTTATTGAAACATATGCTTCATTGTTGTATTCACATAATATTAATCAGAACACTAGGAAAAGTGGATTTTCGAAAAACGACGATAACGATTATTTGCAAATGGCCTCTCAATTTTGAGAGACTTTCAATTTTTACAGTGGACCCTTAAAATTCTGTCCAGATCTATATTCATTACTTAAAAATTAAAATCTAAACTGGATAGTTTTTTTATCGAAAAACTTCACGCCGATAAACATAATAAAACTTTTCTCGAATAGAATGCATTATACATTTATTCCAAGAAATAATCAATATGAAAAATCACATTCAATAATTGTGATGAACATACTTAAAATTTTTGAATTCGAAATCACGGTTAAAACTTTCACTTTTGAGAAATATAAAATTTATTAATGATCAGTTATATTCTGCCCATCAAATTTATTATAAAATTTGAAATCACATTGAATTTCATAACATTTTTTATGATGATAGTATTTTACTTTCTTTTTTATATTTGAATGGGAATGCAACCTTGTTGTCAACTGATTTCTCTAATAGCGGAGATACCATGACGATTGTTTCTCAAAATACTTTTGATAATCCTGATTTAGTACAAAATATAATTCAAAACGGGATAAAAACCATTGTAATATCAGGACCGGACATTACCAATGTTGTGAAAGGAGACTGGGCTTTGGTAATCGAAAAAATATATTTTCGATCCTCAATTACGGAAATTCCAGACGCTTTATTTTACAACAGTAAAACAATTCGCGAAGTAGTTTTAGATAAATCTGTAAAGAGAATTCAAACAACTGCATTTGCACGTTCTACAATATCAAAAATTAACTTAGAAAACGTTGAATACATTGAAGACAATGCATTTTCAGAATGCGCGAATCTAGAAACGATTAGTGTTAACTACCAAACTTCATCAGGAGTATTTTCCATGTCAGGATTAACTTCGATCAAGTTTTTGGATAATGCTGTATCTGTTCCTCAAAGAATGTGTATGAATTGTTATAACCTAAAAACTGTCAAGCTGAATCCTTCGATTATTGAAATAGAATCCGAGGCCTTTTCAGGGTGCTTTAAGCTAGATACGATCGAATTTAATGGCGCACCAATACAGGCTATTAATGATGGGGCATTTATTCAAACATATAATCTTAAAAATTTTGTTATTCAGTCAACAGTCGAAAAAGTTGGTCCCAATGCATTCGAAAATTCAGGATTAACAGAAGTTACCATAGAAGATCACAAAGAAATGCTTAATTTAGGTGAAATTTGTTTCAATGGCTGTTCCTACCTTAAAACAATCAAAATTGGAAAGAACATATCAATAAACAATGCAGAATCAGTGTTTTCTGGTTGCTACGCACTCACAGAAATTGAATTTCAAAATGATATTGAAATGATCGGTACAAATTGTTTCATGAATTGCGCTAAACTCAAGACAGTTAAGATCACTGGCATCACCTTCTTATCAGAAAGTTGTTTCTATCGCTGCGTTTCGTTAGAATACATAAATCTTTCATCTGCAACATTTTTCGACGATGACTGCTTTGCGTTCTGCTTTAACTTGGATACTGACATTCCTGAAGTCTTTACTGCAAGAGATAATTCTTTTAAATGGTGTTCAAAGTTAAAGATAAAAGATTTCAATGGTGAATGTTCAGGAAAGTCCACATTCATGTACTGCAATTCTCTAACAGAGATAAACATCATTAATAACAAAGTTACAAGTGAATCTACATTCGCTGCATGTGAAAATCTAGAAAAAGTAACAATTTTAAGTGATAAAATAATCATTGGCAAAAATTGTTTCATGGGATGTTTCAAACTGAAAAAATTAGTTTATTCAGGAGAGATGAGTGCTATTTCATCTAATGCTTTTTATGGTTGTCCAATTGAAGGTGAATTTGTTTTGAATTTACAAACATTTGGCCTTATTTCACGTTGTGTTGCATTTGCAAAGATCACATCAGTGTATATAAACACTCCACAGTTATTGGATCCATCTTCTTTCTTTTATAAATGCCAAGATTTGAAAACAATAAGAATTGGTTCAGAAACAACAAGTTTTGCAGGAATATTGTTTGAAGATTGCCAGAATATCGAAAACATTGTAATAGAAAGTGGTAATTCCAACTTTGTCTTTGAAAATAATATTTTATATTCAAATGATAAGAAAATCTTATACTTTTACTTGCCAAAGAACACTGCAACAGAGTACAATGTTCCTCAATCTGTTGTATCGATATCTCGTGGTTGCTTTAACAATAATAATTATTTAGAAAAAATTACTATTGACCATCAATGTTCATTAGGTAAATATATGTTCTTAGAATGCCAGAATTTGCAAAAATTCAATTATAATCCAAAGATTGGCTACTTATCTTTTTATCAAAAAATGTTTTATAATTGTTTCAACTTAGAAAAGGTTTATTCATCAATTCCTGTAGATGCTGTGGAGGAATATTCATTCTACAACTGTACCAACTTGAAAGAAATTAATTTGGGAACAGTTATTTCGATCAAAGCTAATTCATTTGAAAATTGTGAGAATCTCGAAGAAGTTGACATTACAAATTGTATAACTATAGGTGTGAGTGCATTCACGAAGTGTTTGAATCTAAAGAAAGTAACATTTAGCTCAAATTTAGAAACAATTTCAAAATTTTCCTTCAGGTTCACCAATTTAGAGAATGTTGAGTTTCCAAAAGGATCTAAGGTTAATGTATATGATGGATCATTCTGTTATATCGATCATATCCATGATTTCAGAGTTAATTCAGACTTTTTCATTATAAGTGAATCCTCTTTATGCGGAACCCGAGTAGATAACTTCTATTTCCCTGCAACACTGACAAGATTCCCAGGTGAAGCACTTGCTTCATTGTCAAATCGTCCAAAAGTCAACATTGATCCAAATAATCCAAATTTTGTTGTTCAAGACGAAATTGTTTATGAAAAGAACACAGGAACATTTGTTTTCAATATCAATTTCGGTGAAGACGGCGGAACAATTGAAATTCCACCATACGTCAGATACATGGAATATGGTTCTGTTGTCACAACTTCTTTCCTTGATATGAATACAGGAAGAATTGTTTCAAGAGGTGCAACCACTTTGATTGTTCCTGAAAGCGTTAAAGAGATTGATGAAAATATTATTGTTCTTCCAAATAACATATATCACATGTGTTTCAAAGGAAGATATTTTGTTGATAACAGTCAATCTTCTGATACAGCAAATCCTTATATTTATGTCACAGAAAATTACAAAATTCCTTATTTTGCAAAACAAATTCCTTTGAGAATTCCATGTGGAACAGTAGAATTCAGTAGTTTAAGTTTTAGAAATGTCTTTGGATTGTCTAAGACAGAGATATTCATGATCATTGTCATTCTTTTGGTTTCTTTCGCTTTGATATCTTTTATTGCTTACTTCCTTTACAAATATAAGCAGTTATGCAAGAAGAAGAAACAAGAAAAACCAAATGGACTGAAAGGAGTTCCTTATTCCGATGATGAACCAGACGTCTAATTCTTATTGTTTGTTATTTAATTATTTTGTATTTTTCATTTTAAATGCTAGTGTTTTTACAAAACTATAATTTATCTTTCACATCAAAGTTATTTATTAATGTCATTGCAGCAAGCTTTAATCAACTTCCATATCAATCATTATGCATCTACAAAATCAACTCATTCAAAAGTCCATAGGTAAAATAAGTATACAATGTTTCCAAAAAATTCACTCGTTTTTTTTTTTTTTGCGAAAAAAGACGTGTTCAAAACCTGTCAGTCATTATAGTATCTGGAATTCAGATCATATAAAGGGGAAAGATGTAGGTTCTCCAGATAGTACACTTAACAATTCCATAAATGAATCGTGCTGATTAAGATTTTTTTCAACGAATAATCTCAATTTTCCTAATATTCGTCAGTTCATTGATAACAAAAAGGTGACAAGTTAGATAAATAATGCTAGCATTTATTCTAAGTTTTGGACAAACTTTTTAGAGTGTCCTATGATGATTAATGATAAATGCAATAGAATTCATAGAATTCATTATCTGCCGATTCAAAAGCAGTTTTACGACCTAATTAGAGAATCAATTCTAAAATTCCTATGCAATCATATTTTGCAAAAAATATCGTAAAATTTGATTTCAATTGAAAAAAAATTTTTTAGTGATGTATCCCAACTTTATTTTCCTACCGAATAAACAAATTCTTAATAAGCCAGAGAAATTATGATTTTTCAAGATGCTCCACATAAAGTTAAAGTTTAGAATTGAATGGATTCAAAAATTGAGATTGTTATATAATCTCTCAAATTGAATGTCCCGTTTTCAGCGAATTCTTCCTCCAAAATATTTAAACGGATACCTTTTTGAAGACTTCTTAGGTAAAGGAGCCTTTTCTTCAGTATACAAAGCAACAAATATTCAAACAAGGCAAAAATTCGCGATTAAAATTTTTCCAAAATCAAATCTTAAAACGATAAAGGATCAAGAAAGATTCCAACACGAAATCGATAGCATGTCTCTATTCAAATGCGATTACATTGTTAAATTACATGGCTTTTTTTGGGATACAAATAACTTTTATCTTGTTCTTGATTTATGCGAAGGAGGCGAGTTATACGATTACATCATTGAAAACGATAAGCTTGGTGAGGCAACGGCCGCCTTGGTTTTTAAAGAAATCGCCATCGGCATATCATATTCTCATTCTTTTGGAGTTGCCCATAGAGATATCAAACCTCAAAATATTTTGATCACAGAATTTCCGAATATTAAAATAACCGATTTTGGCTTATGTGGCATAATCGAAAGCTCACAATTGATGAACGGTTTTTGCGGGTCACCTACTTATTGTTCTCCAGAATGCTTAACTAGACAGCAGTACGACGGTAGACTTAGCGATATCTGGTCTATGGGCGTATTGCTTTATACTATGGTTGTTGGTTCACCTCCTTGGAATACGACGTCATCTGCCAACCTTTTAGATCAGATATTTGCAGATAACATTCAATATCCAAGTCACATTTCCAAGCTTTGCAGAAGTTTAATCAGTTCGATGCTTAAGATTAACCCATTCGAAAGAATTACAATGGATGAAATTATGAATCATCCTTGGCTGAAGATCGCCCATTTCTCGCCAAGTAAAAACGAGAACCTAAATCCCGCACAACCCTTATTTACTATACCAGAAAAACCTCTTGCTCTTTTAGAACTTGATAGATCTATCTCGTGCAGCTTTAAACTACATTCAGAACACGGAATCGTTCCTCCATTTGGAATTTCAAAGTCAGATTCGGCAAGCAACCCTAATCAGATTACTATCACAAAGCCAAACTTACCATGCTTAGCCAGAAACGGCCGACCAAGAAAGAAATGCACTTCTGTCGGACCAATGTCAATTCATTCTCATTCAATGCTCGGTATACCACTTATGACTTCACAGCTTAATTGCTTAAAGCCAAAGTAACCAGATATTGTTTGTTTTGTTTGTATTAAAATTTATGTAATTTTTAATTTTTTTACAACGTTTTTTCATATTCTTATATACTAATACCAACTAAAAAGTTTGATCCCGCTATGGAGATACAGAATTAAGAAAATAAATTTCTAATTTGGTAAAGATAGAAAACAAAATTTATTATAAACAAAACAAAAAAGGTTAATTTGGTCGAATAACAGGAGGATTTTGCTGTAAATTAGTCTGCATTGCAGGTTTTGGAGGTATAAGAGATGGATTTAATGTAGCGGTGGCTCTGAGTATTTGTGGTAATATAACTTTAGGTTGAGGTATTGGTGTGTTTACTGATTGCTTTGTCGAAGTAATTATAGTTACATTTGGTGCAATCGTAACGACGTTTGGCGGAAAGCGCGATTTATCTGTTGATGCAGGAACTACGGGTGGTTGTACTAGGTATTTTTGAAAATTAGGCTTGTTTTTGAGATTTTTCCATTTATCACCTATATCTCCAGATCTACGATCATTTTTCAGGAATATATCTTTATGGTATTCATATATCTTAGCCCATTTGCCTAATCCAAACTTCTTAATACCATCTTCAATTGCATCTACTTCTTCTTTTGTCCAAGGGATACCAGAGCGTTTCTTTTCAGGTTTTGCATTTTCCTGAGTGGTTTGTCCTTTAAAATCCGGAATTTCTGTTTGTTGGATTTCTCCAAGAGCAATTAACTCAGAAAACCCTTCTAAAATCTCTGTATACTGAACATTACGCCTAAGTAATTGATTTTGAAATTGTTTGATCTCCCCTTCGGTTGGCGTAAATCGGGGAGTTTTCATCAACTGGATAAAAGTGACATTTCCAGAACTCGAATATTAATAAGCATGAAAATCCTTTCTTCCATGATGCACGTACATAATACACATCAATACACGAATATTTTTAACAAGAAACTGCTTTCATAACTGCATATCAGTTTTCGATGTCTATTGATTAATAATTAGGTACATTTTTCTATGCATTTAAATAGACAAAGCAATTTTTGGGGTAGAATCAATGATATGCGTGCTCAATAGTACCTTTACCACTATGACAAATATATAATTACATGCTATGATTAAAATCCAATTATACTGAATTAAGACATAAGAAATATGAATAATTTAGTCAACAAACAAAAGATAATTATGATATAATAAGATTAAACTTAATTTATCTATTATACATGGTTTCTTGAAGAGCAGAAATCTGCATGAGCTTGACACTATCTAGGAGATCCTTAGAAATGTTGAACAAAATTTTTTGAATCGTTATATCTTCTCTAATTTCATACTTAACCTTTTGATACTTTTGGACAGCAGCATATAATTCATATGCTTTTCCTATTGTAGGAATATCGATTTTGTTGTCATTCGTATGAAATTCGTTCATCTCTTGGAAATATACCCAATCTTTTTGGAAACAGCCGAAGAAAGGAACACATGGAGGATGGCTAATTAATACAGCTTGTCTGTAACCATGGAAATTGTTGTTGAAACTGCAAATATTCTTGATTGTTTCAAATTCGCGTTTTGTTTTTGGACCCATGGTTTTCCATGCTTCTTCAATAGTACTCTTGAGCCTTTCGACAGAAGGATGCGTAATTCCGCCATAAATCGAAAACATGCCACAAAAATCGTTAACTTTTCTGAGTTCAAATAAGATGCTGACCCACATAGAGTAAACCGTAGCACGAACCTTAACTTCTCTTTCGAAAATAACCGAGAAAGCGACGAAATGTGATAAAGTATCGAAATGTTCTTGCAAGAAACTGATTGAAGGAGAATTCTTTGCAGTCAATTGGCCACCAATGCAGGCAATAACGTCTCTAGGACTTATAGCTCCGAAAATCAAGGAATCTTGTAATGCGATCTGGAGTGCGATCTGCTGAGGATGAGTCTTTTGAAGAATCGGGAATGTTGATTTAGGACCCAAAATCTTATTATCAGTTGTTTTCAGCATAAGTGAAGTCAAATCATCAACAACTGTTTCATTCATAATGGCCATTTGATTACTTAAACTTGTAATCATAATCTTTTCTGCTTCAGAAAGGTGTCCAATTGAAACCATGTTGTAGAAAAGTTGAATTGCATTTAATAAAGTCTCGTTGAAATAAAATGGTGCAAGAGACATCCACATGATCAAGAATGTAATGACTCTCTTACGAGTTTGCTCTAGCTCAACAAGTGATGTGACATTTGCTAAAGAAGAATTATAATTTGTGAAATAGCGTGCAAATAGGCATGCAAGTAGATATTTTGGTGAGTTAAATAGAGGGAATGTGATAAGGAACTGTGCTGCAAGATTTTTCCAATTTCCTTCGGATGTAAGAAGAATGACAAGGTGCTCAAAACTTAATTTTTTAACCGTATCGACGTAATCTTTAGTTAATTGAACATCTGGGGGCAAAGTCTTAACAACATTCATAAGCATTTGCTTTTCGATTGGTAATAATGATAATGCATTGCAAAGATGTCCTAAAATTGATCCGGCAGATAAATCTAACGGGGGTTCAGCCTCATTGAATATATCATCATCATTGTAATCGAAAGGATCAAGCGCATTGCAAAGCACTTTCATGAATAACGGGGTCTTGTTATATTCAGTAGTGCACATAAAAAATAGGACCCAGAACTATTTTATATCGGAATAATTCAATTTTTCAGAATATAAAATTTACAAATATTTACGGGCGAGTCTATTCTGACAACCAAATACAACAGTTAAGAAATAATTTGTAAATGTAAAAATTGGCGAATTAAATTTAATTCTTATGAATTTTACATCAATGTCATTTCGAATCACTAATTTCATTGATTCAGCTATTGATTTTATTTTAATGAAGGATGTAAAAGGAGACCACAATGATATTTTTGTCCAAATACACATCTTTTCTCCTGGGACCACCAAATATCAATCATTTCAAAAGATATTAGATGAGATCAATTAATTCTTAGCATACATTATAATCTTTGCTTGCAACCTATGAATAGCTTTCAATATTTATCCGATCATGCAAGAATTAGAGTTTAGACTTTAGATGATAATTTTTATTATAACTAGCTTCAGTATATGGCAACCCCAATATTAGAGCTATTGATGGCATCAATTTTCCATTTTTTCATTGTTTTTCTGTTTCTTTCACTGTAACCTTCTTGCTCTTGTGAAATTACAATTTGTGTCAAGTAGAAAATAAAATTCAGACTTTTACAAAATATGAAGAAAGGTCAGCAGCTTGGAGAACTGGATGCCATGTCGCGTTCAAGGACTAAGCGTGTAGCTTTAACTAAAAAAATCAGATCAGACTATCTAGATGAAATTAGAGACATTGTTCATCAGACTGATTTTTTATTAAAACATACTAATGCACCACCAAGAAGATTACCAGGTTGGCTGTCATCACCAAAACCAATTGAAAAGATTGTTGTTAAGATCCCCGAAGATCCGGAAGAAAAATACAGGTTTCTGAACACTCCACCCAAATCCCTTACTCCGAAGCGGCCACTTAAAAAGGTCCACCTAACAAAACGCTTTAATGGCGGCGTTGACGATTACGTTTATACATCAAAAGTCAAACTATCCAAACTTGAAGATGAATATCCACAGAAAGATGAGCAATTAACCCCTCAAAAGGACGAATTCGATGAAGAAGAAATGATTCTTAGCCCAGCATCAGAAAATTCTGAAACAGAAAAAATTGTAATGGAGAATGCTGAAGAAGAAAAAGCTAATAAGATAGAGGAATTGATTACTGAGAAAATGAATGATACAATGGATGAGCTTATAGAGATTTTCGATGAGCCAAAGCCGGCAAGATCAGAATCATTCGAAAATTCTCCTTTAGCATTGAACCACCAAAAGGAAAATTCTCCAGAAGAGGAAGAGAAAATAGAAAAACCAACAAATCAAGATAACAAATTCAATACCCCAACAAAATCTGACGAAATCCACGAAGAAGAGGAAGAAATCATACTACCAGGAAGTCCTGATGCATTAAATAAAGATATCTTTGCTCAGGAAAGCAGTGATGCCGATTCAGATATTAATTTCGAAGTTGATGCACTTATAGAGAAATATAAGAATATGAATTAAGTCAATTTGTTATTTTTATGTTATTTATTGATGATCCATAAAGTGTTTGTTCTTTCATTTTATTTTTCATAAATTGTGTTATCTATCCACTTTAATCATCTGCTTTTCATTAGAAGATACGAAAGTGAATTACTCCCAAAGTTGTCTTTTTCTTTGGTATCTATGCCATTGTAATTAAGAAATAATAGTGACTACTTGTTGTTGCATGAGCTGCAAAATGGAGAGGAGAATTTCCTGAATTATTTTTCGAATTGATAATTTCATTATAAATAATTTCATGATAGATGAGGCGTTTGGCTATTTTGAATGTTATCATAAATAGTCATTATAATATAGATGAATAATATACTTCCAGTCTCTATGGTATAACGTTGCAATGTTTTGAACCTGAGGGTCAGCATAGTCTGTGTTTTTTTTTAGAGATGAAATTGGTATGGAATGGTAAAATGTAAATAAGATAGATTGATACAGCCAAAATATTTTTTATAGAGACGTAATTGGTACGGAATGGCAGAATAATTATCAGGCTCCTTATTCATGGAATAAGTTCCATTTGTTATTCTTAGAATAGCATTTTTTAGTATGATTTTGTATATAGGCTTTTATAATATCCAATGATTGATATGATCTGGTATATTTGTAGTTTTGAAACAGTATGGGTATGTTGTAAGTTTTCCATGATCATCTTGTAAATATTGTTTATTTCAACTTCATTTTCTCTTTTTATATTGGAATAATTAAGAAAAATTTCTCATGATAGCTTCTGAATTGCCCCACACATCATCATATATATCTTTTGCGTGTCTTGTTGATTTAACATTAGCAAAAATAGACTTGTAGCATGATATCATATTTTTGACATTCAAATATATCAACGATAGTAGTCGTTTGGTCAAATCAGTGACTCTGTGCGCCATTTTATCTTTTTTGCAAATCAAATTTAGCACTACGCATAATGTAGTTCAGATATTAAACAATGAGAACTAAATTTATTCGATCGAATAATTCTCCACTTTTCTCAATTGAATTAAGGGAGATTGGGACAAAGTTGCAATTCGGCACTTTTTGTAAAAAAAATGGGGTCATACTCATAATGAATAGAGACTTATAGCCAAGTCTTGATATCATGCAGGGAGAATATACATTGATAAGCAATTATATTTTATAGTAGTAGTATTCAGAAATTCTTACAATTTACAATACAATTTTCAAAAATGGATAAAGACTTATAGCCAAGTCTTGATATCATGCAGGGAGAATATACATTGATAAGCAATTATATTTTATAGTAGTAGTATTCAGAAATTCTTACAATTTACAATACAATTTTCAAAAATGGATAAAGACTTATAGCCAAGTCTTGATATCATGCAGGGAGAATATACATTGATAAGCAATTATATTTTATAGTAGTAGTATTCAGAAATTCTTACAATTTACAATACAATTTTCAAAAATGGATAAAGACTTAAGTTAGTATGGGTTAGTTGGGTACTGTGGCACTGCGCACCTACTTACCCATTATATGTGAATTTGACACTTTACGAAACCGCTAACGTATATTTTACAACACAAACGACAACACTAACTTAACCTTAAATATTTACAAAGCTGCCAACCACTTCACCCCACTAACGAACTCACTAATGAAAAAATAAACGTTCTCATAAATTTTCTTCTATATCTTCATCGTCAATGTTAACTCTATTGTAGTCATACTTGAAGTCATAAAGTTTCTCAAGTTTTGAAATGCATAGTCTTGTTAACTTACCTTCATCATCATAAGTTTTTATAAAACTACCATGACAATCTTTATACACAGTCAATGAAAAGTCAACTGGTCTCGGATGTATTTGAAAGAACATGTTATGCTCAGGAAGGAAGAATAAATGTTTAAATGTATGTTTGTTATACTGTGGAATTCGAATGAGTTGCTTTTGTTCTGTCATTTACATCCAAATAAAAATTTTCAGTAAAAATAAAAAATAAACTTAAAAATTAATGATATCACCACTCCCACACGTATGAAAACATAGCGCAAAAATAAATTTAGGTGAAGAGGTGAGATCTCACCTCTTTTTTCACCTGTTTTTTCACCCTATTGAATTCATTACTTTATAACTCACTTCCTTGGTTTCTTTTTAGTTGCTTTCTTCACGTCTGTCTCCAACTTGACTGTCTTTCTTCTTCGTCCGTAATGATACCAGTTACTTCCACCAGTCAATGGGTCAAATGGTCTTTCGTAAGGGTTTCCATACATTCCATAAGGTCCGTATGGATAAACTACTGATGGAGGAAGAGTTCCATCGACTCTATTTAAATGCATTGTTTCACCTTTCATCTGGTCATTAAAGTCTTTTGCATGTTTTGCAAACTCATCATCCTTTCCTAAAGCATTTTCTGACTCAGTCGCAACCAAATTGGATGCTTTATTTATGAGCCCTATTTTATTTAATCTTAACTTCTTTGCAACCCAGCCTCCAATCTTTCCTTTATTTGCATCTAATGTCTTCGAAACCCTTCCTCCACTCATTTTATTTACTGCGTCATAAGCTCCAAGTGCTTTTGCTCCAAATGCTAATGCTTTTGTTCCCATTGCGCCTAAAGCTGCCCAAGCTACCATTTACACCATATTAAAATCATCTCTCTTCAATATTATCTCATAAAAGTTCTCGTTACTGGAGAAAGTCAATGAAACATAAACATTCTCATTCATAAACTTCTTTCTTATCTCATCTATTCTCAATAAAATATCTGAACAATTGCTAACATCTTCTACAACAGTTATTTCATCATGAATGACCTTCAAGAACAAGCTCATTTAATATGCAATTAAAATCATCTCAATAATGAGTCCATCCTTTCCATCTTTAGGTAGCACAACATCTTTCATTGAAGAAGGTTCGACAAGTCTTATGTTAAACTTACTGACAAAGTTTGTTATACTATAATGCTTCGGTGGCGAATACATGTAGTTTGAAAGACATAATATAGATTCTTCAGCAAATTCACTTATACTGGATTTTATAACAATGTTTTCACGAGACCAAATACCACCAATTGACAATCTTGTAAGCAATCCTGCTGAACCTTCAACTGTAAACGTCGATGGTAACATTCCACGAAGGTCATCTATTGACATCTTTGAGTCACTGAATTTAAAGATTTTCTTAAAGCAATCGTCATTATCTAACCATGCAATAGCTTTGAAGTTTTCATTCGAATATACATCTGCTTCATTAAATGTAAAACCTGACTTCTTTGCAGAGATGACTTTAAAATCTATTGAGTTTGTTTCAAAATTATATACTATGGTAACTTCTGAAGGTAATGGATGTCCTTCCACAGTCAGTTGTTCTCTCACTACCATTTGAAGCTTTGTGTTAAAAACTTTCATGTCATCTCCTGTATCTAAGTTCACATACACAGCAACAGGAAAACTATCTTGCTTCTTTGTTTCATCATTATATCTCAAAACATTAAAGTTCTTCAATAATATTGTTCTTCCTGCTGGAATACTTCGAACCTGTCTGATTTCAATAGCTTTCTCACCTCCTACATACTCTACCCAGTGCCTTGGATATTCATAAGTATACTGACTTTCTTGAATTTTGGTTGGTTTCATCATAACGTGTTCATAGTATATCTTTATACTCTTGTCAGTTAGACTCGGTGCTATGTTCTGAATATTTCTGACTTGCATTTTTAATGGAGATAAAATGAAGCATTTAATACATGACGTAGATGAAGACATGAATGAAACTACAGACAAACTTAACTCTTCTCTCATTCTTCCTTTCAGTAAGGACTATGAGTTCTGTTCAAATGGCGTTTATTTCTATTGTGGAAAGATGGGTTCAGGTAAGACATTTAATTTAATTCGTCATATACTCATAACAGAGCGTTTAGGAAACGACTCTTACTATGACCAAATCATTATATCAGCAACTTCAGACTCTATGGACTCAACAGCGAAAACATTTATGTCAAAAGTTCAAGCCTCTGTCGTTAAAGTTCCAGACAGTGAACTCATTGAATTTCTTCAACGTTACATTCAACGTAAGAGGAAATATTATGCCATCGTTGAATTTATACAGTCAGGAATGCAAAAGACTTCTGAGGAGATGGAAAGAATTATTGACAAACACCACTTACGTCAGTACTCAGGAGTTTACGATATGAAACGACTTACAAACTACATTCTATCAAAACTTTCAAAATACCCCTTCAAAAAATATCCTTCAAATACTTTGTTAGTTTGCGACGACTTCGCCGGAAAAGGTTTAGTGTCAAAACCAGACTCACCATTAGCGAACATCATTACTAAAGTCAGACATTACCATTTAACTGTAGCAATACTTATGCAAACATGGCGTTTCCTTGCTTTAAACATAAAACGTCTCATAACTGACTTCGTTATCTTTCAAGGTTTCTCACGTTATGATATTGAACTCATTTGGAAACAGTCAGGTATAACATTACCTTTTGAAGAAATTTGGGAAGCATATAAGTCTCTCATCTCTCCTCGTTCATACCTTGAGATTCATATCATGACTAATACCATTAAAGTCAAAAATATTCCATGGGAACGACCAACATTGTTTTAAAGCTTAACCTTCAATTGACTGATGGTAAACAAATTCCATGCATCTCTGTCGCCATTTCTGTTAATATTTTTGCTGTCATTCATATCATCCACTTCTCCATCCGTTAGCTTTTGAGGATATGTGTTAGAATAGCTGTTCTTAAATGAAGGCTTTTCACCTTTGAGAGCATAAACTCTATAACTTTCTGCATACTTTATGTTTGAACCTCCTGAGCCATCATTGACATAAATTTTTATAGGCTTCCACCCTTTGTTCATGTTCCTGCTTCTTCCCTTAGCTCTTTTGTTCAGGAGTTCTACATCTTTATACACAGCTCCTGTCTCAGTGAATTCAACAATATTTTCATTCGTTAGCTTTACATTCAAACCCTTGTCGAGTATATTGTTCATTTCA